TCCCCTTTTTTGACAGAAAGTTCTTCTAACTTTCTTTTCTTTTTAATAGAAAGTTCTTCTAACTTTCTTTCCTTTTTAGTAGAAAGTTCTTCTAACTTTCTTTTTTGCCCTTTTGCTTTTTTACTTCGTCATAGATTATTTGAGTGCAATCTTAGAATAAGAGGTACCCTGCGGCGTTAGAATAAGTTAAGCGTGCGTGTGTGGGATCCCATGCAATTAGTATTAAGTTAATGTATGTGTGTTTGTGTGTGTGATACAAGTTCTTTACTGGATTGTGGTAAAGAACTTGTATATGCGAGCCTATGAGCTAAGTAGAGTCAGAACTCATTTATCCTTCTGATAAATGAGATTGCATTTGGTGGGAGGAAGGGATTTGGAGTTAGGGTGGGTCGCTATCGTAGCCACCTCCACGTGGTGTGACCTGGTAATTGGTATAGTTCTCTGAAAGCTTTAAAAAATCTTCAGAAAACTATACCGAGCTAAGAGCTACGATTAGAATTTAATTTAAAATTAGAATTCAGAATTTAAGAGCTACGATTGTAATTTTACTTATAATATATGTATATATAGTTGTATAGATTTATACAGTCATATATATAACTAACTTAACCCAGCCTAATGTAATCTAACCCAACCTATACATTCATAGTTTACAGTGCAATTATAAGAATTTTTGAAAAATTATGTGGGATCATTAAGGTGCCCTCGTTAGTCACCACTGCGTGTACCGACTAGGTACGGCATTGGCAGCAAGTTGTGACGTCAGCTGACGCATGCGCATAAAGCTCTCGCGTGAGATAAAATCTCACGACTGCCCAACACTGCCGTAGAGTATAGGAAGAAAAGGAAACAATCTTTTAAAAAAACGCCATAAATGCTGTTAACAGCACCATCTAACAACAAATTGCTGAAGTATGAATAACACGAGCAAAGTACCGATCGGATTCTGTTGATAATTAATTGACTATACTTTAACGGTAATATGCCATCAGCGAAGTTTCTATTTTAGTTCCGTTTATGACGGCTAGATGGCGCTGTGTCGAACCTGCATAAGGGGGCGTTCAGATTAGGCAAGTACCTGCCAAAATAACCTAATGTGACCGACATTTAATTACAGTTCCACGAACCACTGCTAGATGGCGCTACGACGAACCCACATAAAGGGGCGTTCAAGTTAAGCAAGTACATGGCAAAATAGCCTAATGTGAACGACATTTACTACGGCGCAAGAAAGCAATCGTCACATTTATATATTCATCACATTTTCTTCCATAAATTACAGTTTTATTCAACTTTTTAGAAGCAAATTAATTGCCACACTATTTTTATTCTCTCAACAGATATTTCTTAGCTTTCTACAAGATCCTGTACTACAGCGCATACTGATACGTACAAATTATTAGGTCGAGTCATAAGTAACTTCCGATGCAGCTAAATAGATTTTATTATGTGTATGGTGAGATTATGAAGGTATAAATCACCACGAGTTGTTGAAGTCAAATTTAACGATTACTGCGGATAAATACATTCAGCAATTGCAAAGTGTGCAAGAGAAACTTCTAGAAAAGCGCCCTGCACTCGTCAATCGCAGAAATGTCATTCTTTTACACGACAACGCGCGACCGCATACAGCAAGGGTGACTCAAGAAAAAATTCTCGAGCTTGGATGGTCTGTTTTACCACATCCACCTTACTCCTCAGATCTTGCCCCGACAGACTACCACCTTTTCTGTTCCTTACAGAACTTTTTAAATGGAAAAACCTTCAATTCTGAAGAGCAAGTTAGGCAGGCTGTTGAAAGCTTCTTCAGGTCCAAACCAACCACATTTTACAAGGAAGGAATTGATAAACTACCAGGAAAATGGGAGAAGGTTATAGAAAATAGTGGTGAATATATAATAAAATAATATAATTTTGTTGTTTAATTAGAACGAAATAAATGTCTGATAAAAAAACGGAAGTTACTTATGACTCGACCTAATATAATAATAATTCCGCCCTAGAATTAAGTGTTAATAATGTATCTATCTATTAATAAAACATATTAAGTCCTTTGATGTACAAAAGTTTTCGAAAATAAATATGAACAAAAACATGTATTTGCATATTTACTTATTTATAAATCCCGTCATTCAGATCCCCAGAAATTGCCCCAAATTTTAAAAAATAAAAAATTAAAAACAAAATTTTCAGAATTTGAACCAGCAGACCACGCATTATGGGGAGGTATCCTTCCTGCCACTTCCTGGAATTTTCCTGACGTCAAATTCCAAGAATTCCCAGGTGCGGTTTACGAAATTCCAGCGATCCATTTTGAAAATTTGTATCAGGAGAACATAAGTTGTGAGGAGGTATCCTTCGTGCCATTTCTTGGAATTTTCAGGACGTCAAATTCCAAAAATTCTCATGTTCTCTTGCTACAAATTCTCTCTTTCGAATATAAAATTTTTATTCTGTTGGGTTTGTGAGGTAGTAATAAAAACACAATGATTGTTGATAAATTTTTCTTTATTTTCACCATTTTTCATTCAGTGTATAGCTAAATTAATCATATTGTTCAATTTTTGTATTACTATGTACTGGAACGCTCGTGCTATCCACGGGTAATTAAACAGTTAAACTTGATCCCAGGCGCAGTCCTTAATCTTGAAAGATAGACATGCGAAGTAAATTTTTTACAAAGTGGCCTAATTCAGGAAAGTCGAGTGGTGCACTCTAAATGATAGCGTAATTAGTGTTTAAATTGGAGCAATTTTGATTTGTTCGTAATTCCGCATAACTCACAGACATGTTTCTGCGTTAAAATATGATGAAAATTTGTAATTTGAAATTTGAAATTTGAGATTTGAAATTTGAAATTTGAAATTTGAAATTTGAAATCTGAAATTTGAAATTTGAGATTTGAAATTTGAAATTTGAAATTTGAAACTTTAGAAATCTAGAAATGTGAAACTCGAAATTTAATCGTTTGAAAATTTGGACAGGAAGAGCCAGGGAAAGCCAGGGAAAGTCAGGGAGAGCCAATATTATGAATAGCAAAACATCACTAAAAGTATCTAAATACAAAAAATCCAAAGGAAACTAAAAAAATTCAGAAAGAAACCTAACCTAAAATCGCTTCTCTTTTCATGTATGGAAATGTGAAAAATATAAGACAGTATATGAGGCATATTTTATTCTAAATTTCCTATTAATTAAAAGATACCTAATAATAAATTACACATGATACCACATATCATTTATTTAAAATTAGCGCTGCACTATAAATGGCAATTCTTAGTTGAGTATTAAGACGTCAGATGGTAGTTGCAATGCAGAGTTCCTTACTGCGATTTAAATGATCAATTAAAAAGTAGTGGAGTAAAGTGAATAATATTATTCATAATAAGTACGCAGAAACTTCGTAAAGATGTTTCTTACTTCGAGATCGATTCGTACTATTTATGTAAGTTATATATTATTGACGTTTTGATAACACATGTTATATTTTGTAATATTATAACCTCTTTTATTAACTTATGTAACCTTTAATTTTGTTTATTTCTATATTTGCATATGCTTATAGTTGTCAAAAATAATTTTAAAATGGGAAGTAAATTATAAAATAAGAATATTCAATTTCTTTGTTCTACTTAATTATTTAATACGTTTATACCAAGCCATTGTATTTATGATGAGCACCAGATATCCAAAAGTTTTTATATTGACATTATCACATTAAAAAAATTTGATCTTCTATATCTGTCAGAATCAGGAGTGAAATAATATAGTGCTATCTAACTTTAGATATCTTAAATTACATTCAAGTATATTTATACATAATGTGAAATTTGTATGTGAGATAAAATTAATTTTAATTAACTATGTGCCCCAAAAAATAAATATTTATATGAAATAACTCAACAGTTTTTGAAACATGTTTTTCTTTTATTAAACAGAACTGTAAAAATCTTAGAGGGCTGCAAACATCAGCCAGTCGCACATCAGATCAGTTATTCGTTGTATGTATTATTATATACATATATATTACATATCATATGACTCTATGTCCCATATAGAGCTACTACTAATTGACTGATTTTAATTTTTCTAGCATCGAGACAGTGAAGTGGATAATCCAAAAATACCCTTTGAATTCAATGAAGCTAATAAAAAACGTATTGAAGCCCTTTTGAAAATTTATCCCGAAGGGCATAAACGTGGTGCAATGATACCTCTGTTAGATCTAGCTCAACGTCAACATGGATGGCTACCTATTTCTGCTATGCATAAAGTAGCAGAAATACTAAATGTACCACACATGAGGGTGTATGAAGTAGCTACTTTTTATACAATGTTTAACAGAAGGCCAATGGGAAAATATCATGTACAAATTTGTACATGTACTCCTTGTTGGTTAAGAGATTCTGATTCCATTGTAGATGCTGTGACAAAAGCTACAAATTGTAAAATTGGAGAAATGTCTGAGGATAAATTATTTACAGTTTCTGAGGTAGAATGTCTTGGTGCCTGTGCCAATGCACCAATGTTTCAAGTCAATGATGACTATTATGTAAGTGTTAATTTAATTATTAATTTATTTTAGTAATAATAAATAAGACATAAGATACATATGTTGATACATTTGACAGGAAGATTTGACACCTGAAAGTGCTACTGCTATAATAAATGCATTAAAGAAAGGAGAAAGGCCACCTCCTGGACCACAAAATTCACCTAGGTTTGCAGCAGATCCCTCAGGAGGTTTAACATCATTAACAAGTCCTCCACCAGGACCTGGGTTTGGTGTTAGATCTGACCTGTAATATTTTGTATATAAATAGTAAATTGTACAATCTGTGAATGATCTAATAATAATTAAATATTTAAATAGATCATATGATAGCTAATTGTTCAATTAAGAACCTTAAGATGCACTTCATTGTACCTTGATACTGTATGTAAAATTTATTAATCGTTTCTTCTATTAAAAAATAATGAGTTATGAAAATTGAAAAGTGGTAATAAAAAATTATTTTTGTACAAATAATATTAGTATTTAGCCACGGTTAGTAAAATAGCCAGATATAATAAAGAATATTTAATTTAAGTATGTAAAAAAATTAATAAAATAATAGTAAAGTGAAAGAGTAAAATACTGAACGGTGAATATAAATAAAATAGTTGACATTAAATTAGGTATATAACATATAATAATAGGTATAAAATATAATAATAGCATCTTTTGATAATATTTAACATACATAGGTATCAAATACATATACATATATAATAGTTATAAACACACAGACGTTAACTATAAATAATAAAAATGCATCATAGCTGACATTAGGCTAGATAAGATTAAGATTGTAAACATTACTGAAATTAGCTACAATCATAGGGAATTTTGTAAGTTGCATTAACTGAACTGTATAGGGTTATTTCAAACGGTTAAACAAGCAAATATTCAAAATATCTGAACTACTGAAACAAAGCGCGAAAAGTTTGATAAAATTTTCTAAAATGTCATCGAATTATTTTGAGAAAATAAAACTTCAAGCTCGCCAGCTTGATGATGGTGTTGAAAAGTTAATTAAAACATGGAAGTTGCCACAAATTTTAATTGGAGGTTTTGGTGAATGTACTGAAGAAACAGATGTTCATATTGGAGCAGTATGGAATACCATAAGGAATACACAGGTTTTTATTACAAATTAATAATATTTCAATTATTATCAAATTTCTGTTTTTATACATAACTTAATATTTTTTGTTATATCAGAATGGTATAGAAAAAGTTTTATCAGAATTAAAAAATGCAAAGGATGATGACAATGAAACATTCGACATGGAACAATTTTTACAAGAATCCAGAGCTGAATATGATCATTTAAGAACACAGTGTGATGAGTTGAATAATGTTTTAGCAGAATATGGTTATCATTATGATGATAGTGATGCCTTGGACCAGTAAGATTTTTGTTAATATCATTTTCACCAAGCATTTAGTATTCTAAAGAATTGTTTGTATTTTATAGGACTGACACAAATAATGGCAAGGAATCCTAACCAGTAATAAACTTTATTTATTTAAGAGGAGAAGATATGGGAACTGAATGATTAATACCAGCAACTATTGAAAGTTTCAATTCCACATCGTATACAACATTTGTACATAGTAATTTAGCTTTAATCAGTTTTTAATCAATTTTATTGCAAAAAAAGTTGCATGTAATAATTACAACAATCAGTTTATGTCACATGTTTTGATAACATGTTGATGCAAAGTTGAAAAAATTATGTACCCTTAATCTTATATGTAATATCAAATTTTTATAAATAATTTATATATTGTTTGTACACTGTTTATTCCTAATTAAAATTTTTTAAAGAGATAATTATATCTTAGAGCATGTATAGAACTGTTGAACACCTAATATTGTAGTAAATGTATGTATGTATTTATAATATACAGAATAATGACAATAATACATATAAATACTAATGAATATGATTTATCAATTATTTCATTTGATTTTACCCAGTATTTTTGTAGTTTTCGTAACTTCGATCTAGTAACGCACCGAATATAACAGTGCTCATAAATAAAAGTAAAATCACTATAAATCAAACAGAAACATAAACACTGCTACATAACCTCCATTTATGTTAACAGTGAGAGTTGATACTGTAATATTCAATTGCAAATTTCAATAAAATTCAATCAGAAATATGAGTAAGTATTTTTTGTTAGAAGTTTTTAAAATATATTGTATATAACACGTTCAATTAAAATTATCATATTTATAGATTCAGATCCCAAACTATGTCAAGGAAAAGATATCTTGGAACGAATGAATTATTTATATCAAGTATTAACATTTTTTAATTATTGTACATATTAATTAAGATGTATATTGATAAAACTTAACTAAATTTCTTTCATCAGGCAAGTTACATAATGGCATTAAAAAACAGGGTAGCAGCATCATTTTATGGTAATATGATGATCGGGTGTTCAAAGAAAGCTGTTCTACGAATGTGAGTTCCATACATTAAAGTATTTAAGTAGATAGTATATTGATTTTTATGAAATAATATTGACTTTGTATATCTTCTTTTCCTTTTAAGAGAATCTGATATTAAAAAAACAATTTGTAAATGTTGCCAATCTCCCCTTATACCTGGTAAAACAGCAAAAGTACGATTGGTGTCAAAACCAGTTAAAGCTGTCAAATGGACATGTTTAACATGTTTAAGTGTTAAAAAATATCCTACCAAAAAGGGATATAAATTATGGACTGATCAACCTAACTCAGTAGTTCAAACTTTTAATTATGCACTAAAAATTAATGCTGAAATAAAAGAAAAGGATTTAAATAAAAATAAAGGTATGAATATTAAGTAAAATTAACTGAATAAATATACATATATGAGAGACAATGAATATTAACTTACAAATATTTAATACTAATAGCTTATTCAGTTTACAAAATAAATTTATTTTTAATTACTTTTTTTATGAGGTAATGTAAAGATAAGTAGATTTCATCATAGATTTTATATTTAAGATAGAAAAAATATTCTTTATTTGCTTTATTTTTTAAAGTACAAATTGTGTAGTTTGTAAAAGTATCTTATTTTAGAGATGTAAGTGTACAAAGTATTATAAAATATGTCTGATTACCAATAACAAAGAACGTTTAATATGAATTAGATAATAACGATCTTTTTTATTTTTTCCTAAGTACGATTTTTACAGCTCACTATTACTAGAAAATAATTTTATTAATACAGTATAATACACCCACAATAACAGTATACATGTATTTTATTTAGTTCCAACAATAAAATACCATGACATGTAAATAAATATATTTAATGTAAATTTGTATAAAAAAAATTTTATCTTTCAATTTTTTACACAGAAGTATTATTTATCATGTTGGTTACTTCCATAACTAATAAAAAATAAATGAGTTATGCTAATATCAAAAGTGGGTATAAAACCTAATTGAATTCATAATGTTCACTTTAAAAAAAAACTCAGAAACATTAGTCTTAATTCGTTGTAATTTAATAAATCAGCAAAAATAATTACAAATTTCGATAGCCTATTAATCTTTTATCAAGTGCTTGCAAAATTAAATGTTAATTATATTAACACATATCTAATTTATTATTATTAGATGGTGTATTCAATCCACCTATATCACCAGATTCAAGTTGCTTAAGAAGACGAAAGAGAGCAGCAGCTTCTCTAATGCGACTAAATTCTATGCAAAAAGCTTGTACTTCGATAAAAAGTTCTTTTACATTTATGATTTTGTTCCTGATCAAGGATTGTAGAAAAACACAAACTAAGCGTACTAAACGATTTTGCATATAGCGATCTTTTATAGTTTCACAAGTAGAGATACAATTGCTGATGTACAAATGGACAAATTCTGTTGGCAAATCTACAGTAGTTGTTAATCTATTGACCACTTCCATAGAATGAAGTGACATCTCCATATTTACCAAAACACTGAAATACTCTGTTATTTGACTTGATTGCATAAGCTTTAATAAAACCTCAATTGCAATCAAGGGATTATTTTCTACCAGATCTGGTAATTTTCCAGGAGTAAGGCCAATGTGATACACCAATTTGGGATCTCTGTCTAATTCGTTAACCAGATGTTGCTGTTGCTGTAATGTGAGTACGCTTTTAAATGCTTTGCCCATTAATCTTCGTGCTTCTGCACCAGCACAATTTGAAACGCACATATTAGTGTCATATTCAATCGTAAATTGAGAAGGTTCTGTAACATTGAACCATGATAATTCATCGACTGAACGATAAAGAGGAGGTGCTAGTCTCAAAAACTCAGGATGATAACTCTGACTACATAATGGTGGATCATTAGAAATTAAAACTTCCGTTATACTCTTTGCAGTGTTTTTATCAATTTCTGTTACTTTGGAATGATCCATGTCAGGTAAAATCACAGGATTTCCACATTTAGCAATGGATGGTAACTCAGAATGACGCTCCGTCAGTTGTACTTGTAAATTACTTAAATCGATAGGTGGTACAGACACAAAATATAATTCATCCACAATCTGTCTTGGAGTTTTCTTCAAAATATCTTTTTGATTATATCCAAGTAAATTTACTAACAAATTCTTTTCACATTGTGACAGAACTGGAATATGCCCTGAAAAGTTGGTCTTTGGTACTCCATTATTTGTATCTTCCTGTGGTTTCAAAACTTGAATGAAAACTGGTGCAAAAGGTGTAGACGCCAAAGGTTCTCCTCTATACAGATCAAATAATAATGCCACTGCTATTATACGCTGAACATTTTTTGGCAACAAGTCTATGTGTTGTAATAGAAGAACCAATGTCATTCCTACTTTGAATCTATCTTCTTTAGAAAATACTTGATGTAACTGATTGCAAAGATTCTCCAGACTCGTATCTAAATTCTCCTCCTCAAGGATATCCAGCAACTTTGTTAAATCTTTAGGTGTAAGCGTCATGATGTCTAAATAATAAACTGAACTAGGTTATAGCACCTTTATTACGTTTCTTTTTCACGGTTATATTCATGAATGTCGTAATTCAAGCACAGTAATTCTTTTTTGAAATTAACGATTTCATGTAACATAATTTTCAATGTTTTTGATATGTGCATATACTTTGATTACATTTTGCAATTATTACTTTGCAGGTTATGACTAGAATACCAGTAGAGTCAACTACTACCATAGATCTAAAAATATGTATAGGGACATTCGGAGATAATTTTGCCGAAGGCAACCATTATGGCAGGTTGAGGAGGTAAACCGTTGCTCAGTTTTGATTGGCTATTGTTTGATACGAGTCCAAATTATAAATTTTGAATTTCTATGACTACGTTTCCATCGAGGGTCCAAATCGGGTCTGAGTCGGGTTAGAGTTAAGTTGCCTTGCCTGTTTCCATCGGATCAGAGTTACGTTGGGGTCGGAGTTGGGTTGAACATTACCAACTGCACAAAATTAACTGCCATATTGTGACATGTAAAGCTGAGCAATATTAATTTTACAATATCAAAATAACATACAAAAATTATTTCTCAGATTACAAGATCACCGACAAAAAGTAATAATAACCTCTTCTACACCGATTAATACAGCACGTGATACACAATGCAATTTGGATTTGTTATGTTGGCAACATGAACTCGACTTTTGTCGTTTCCACCGAACCTCAACTGAACGCTACCCTAAAATTTTGTAGGGTAGAGTTCAACTAAACCTTTGGCGTTTCCACCGTACAAGCGCTGACCCCAACCCGACTCTAACCCGACTCTGACCCGATTTGGACCTTCGATGGAAACGTAGTCATTGTTTTTTCATGTGGCTCTGCTTTAATATATTTATAATTTATAATATACTACTTTTCTGTAGTATAGATTCGACTATTATTACGAAAATATAGGAATAAAAAGAAAGCGCAGCATCAGGTTCCCTTATATCCTTATTTAATCACACATGCGCACTCGCGCATTAACTAACGTTGCGCGCGATAATTTGAAAATATTTATGCAGATAAATGTAAAACCTTCACATTTCCTGATAGTTGCGTTTTCGTACTAAAATATAAATTATATAATTAAGGAATTTAACATTAAACTATATATAAATAAATATTAATTATTGGTGTAATTAATATTTAATTACAAGTAACTAATTATTATAAATAAAAAATAATTATAACATTCAATAAAAAATACAAATAATTTATTAAATATATCAAAAAGTACTTGAAGTATGTTATATTTATATTCACTAGCGCAAAATTTGAAATTATTGATATATGTATAATACATGTCTTACGACTTTGCGTTTGTAATTTCTATTTACAGGTAGTTTAATTATTTTATTTGTATTATACAATACATTTTTTGAAAAGAAGAAATAAAATTTTTTAATTAATTATATTTAAGCGTCTATATAATAAGTTTACAATTTGTTCGATTACTTACTATTTGACATCCTCATAAACATGGAAATTTAGCATGTAATCAGGAAGAAAACTTCACAATGAGTTTCATAGATTCCTAATTACGATTTTACGCTTCAGAATTTCCGGTGTATAGAAACTAGACCGAGTTCTAATGCATATAAATTAGAAAGAATCGCGTGAAGAGCGATGCATTATGACACGCATGAAGTACTCAGGTTTATTAAATGCTCGTTTAACTTTGATCATCAATATTGTTAGGTATTCTACCTTCGTTTTAAATATCATCACAATGATTGATATTGTTTTAAAAAATAATTTAATTTAACTTTAAATAACTCTATAAAAACTTAATAACGCGTGTGCGCATGCGCGTCATACTTAGTTAATATCGTTAATCAACATTAAAACTAATAAGAAAATTATAATAAATAATATTACGTTAATACGATCACTGTACATGCCATAAGCGCACGTCACACTCTGTTAATATTACAGATAATAAATGGATTACTATCGATAATATTAGGTTAACGCGTTCGCCCCTTGTACATTCAGTTAATATTACCAATATTCATATTGAAATAATCGTCAATGTCAATATTAAAAATAACACTAAGAATGATTGGGTGTGTCGCGAATACACGGTGTCCGTAACGAATGCATTAAAGCGTACATTTAGTTATTTTTGAGCATGATTCGCCTCGATAGCTGTGTTTCCGCTGTATGGAAATTAATCCATATAGGAATCGTTCCTTTACACGCCTACGGCTTACATTCACGCGGTGCTTTTAGGCTAGGTATGAGGAATACGGTCAACTCAGAAACGGTGAAGGAATGCCAGATTCCCCTACCATTCTTCGCATACTCGTTCCACTCCTGCCCCCCGGCCCACGGGTAAATCCCCCTCCTAGTGCAGAAGCACCTGTTGCGCAGCTACCTGTTTTACTCGATCCATGGGCCCGTTCTCTCTCTTTCTTTCTCGGCCTCTTCTTTTTTTCTCTTAGTACCGTGCACGGTGTCACAGCAGTAGGACGGTTTCCGATCGTGGTTAGTGATTCTTCGGTAAAGGGCAACGACTCACCAAGTGAAAATAATGTCTCCTTATGCACGTCGAACGGAGTCGCGGTGAACAGTGCGTATTGCGGGTCGGTTTGAAGCTTTAACACGGATATTCCTGTGAGAAGAAACGCGGATTACAACGGCCAAGCTGGAAATGCATCGAAGGAGAGCTTGAGAAGGAGCAATGGAGGACGAGCCACGGGATACCTGTTTCGGGGCAGGAAGCGTGGCAGGGGCTGTGATCGGTACTTTCCTTACGACGATTCTCCTGCTACTCGTTGCTGCGCTCCTTTACAAACAGTGGCGTAGACACAAGGGTGAGACCTGGAATGATTATTTTTCTCTTTTAAAACTAAAACTACCGGCAAGTGCGTCAAAACCCGCAAATGACAGATCGTTGTGGTTTACGTTCGCGGTCCTGTTCGCCCGAGCGCGCTCTAGTTGTCGGACTCGAGCTTATAAACGTTGCGGCAACTAGTTTGCTCCTTTCGAAGAATGACTGGTATTTTATCATCGAGGGCAACCATTTGTCACGTTTACCGACTAATTGTCATGCTTTACCGACATGGGGAATCTCTTGCACAACAAATCGGAATTTATTCCTACGCGTTTAGTTGTCTATAACTTTAGCGAAGACATCGATGCAACTCCGCCCCAACACTCTATACGATAATCGATCGACACGAAAGTCGATAAATAACGTTGTAATTATGCAACGAATCAGTGTATCTCGAATTATCCTCGATGAATGGAGTTTATCGAGCGAAACATCCTGTTACTCAAAATGGTACATTCTGTTGAGGAGCGTAACGAATGTTGAACTGCAAGATTTTTTAAGGAACCGTTAGTCAAATCACCGCGAAACATTAGGCACAGTGAATACCACGCTCGAAGCGTGTTAAGAAAAATGTAACGCCCGTTATCGTCTGGTGAAGCTCGTCAGCGTGCATTGCACGTTAATCCTTTTCGCTATTGCGTCGCAATTGATGCGTATATCCACGCGCAAAAGGTAGACCTTGGAGTGCCACTCGAGAAACACGATGGAACACGAAAGTCTGTTGCTCGGTACATTGGAATCGCTATTTGTGGAATGATGTTTACGGCCTACAACATCGAATATTTCTTACGGAAAAATGCATTCCGTTGGGTTGCTTTTAAGGTGCGTTTAGACTAAGCGAGCGAGTGCTCATTCTTCCCCCACTTTGGCAAAATTCAGGCGTAAACGAGCATTCTTTGGATGTTCGATTGTTCGCCGAATCGAATACCAAATCTGAACGAATGCTCTAACGATTAGAATACTCGATTAATCGAATCTATTAGATTATCAAGTCGACACATTTTAATGTGTAACTGACAAGTACTTCAGTTTTATGCAACTCAATTCTATCGAATTTGGTAATATTTAATTAGAAACAATTCAATTTCTCGTGTTACAATTTAATGTGATTTAATCCAAGGTAAATTAATTTGACACGATTTCGACGCTATTCAATTCGATGTGATTCATTTCAAACGATTCAATCCGGTGCGTTTCAATTCACCTAATTTGATCTGAAGCATTTTAATTTAATACAATTTTATTCGACGTGTGTCACTTTAACGTGATTCGGTTCGTTAAGATTTAATTTGATGAAATTCAAATGTGATTTAATTCAATAATATTCAATTCGATGCTATTCAATTTCATTGCATTCAACGATTTGTTTCAATTCGATGCGATTGAATTCGCTGAAATTCAATTCGAGGTATTTCAATTCGCCTCAATTTAATTTTATATTATTTAATTCGCTACGTTTCAAAGCGATAGGATTTAGATCGACCTGTTTCAGTTCGATATGATCCAATTCAATTTGACATGTTTTAATTTCATTTAATATTAATCGACACGATTTAATTCACAGTGCCGAGCATTCAACGCTTGATTTAGTCTCCTGGAACATTCGCTTGCATTCAACCATTTTCTGTAACCGAGGAGTCTGCTCGATAGTTCTTTGCAATAAATGAGCACGAACAAATGCTCTCGCTCTATGTTCTCGCTCGTTAGATCTAAACAAGCGATTCTCAACTTTTTCATAAATGTATATCAAAATCAAATTAAACAATTATTAACACGTATATCTTACATTGTATACATGTATACGAGTACAAAGATATGCATATTTTTATTTTATTTCTGAATAATTATATATTATCTACGATTAACAAACAATATGATTATTATATAATAAGCAAAGCGGTTTAATTTAAAATGATATTTGTACCTGTTAGACGACTAACGAACCGGTTTCTATATATTCGGTTTCATTTTCCATAACTGAAACTTAAATTTGGTTATAACTCAAATTTTGTTCTACATTTTTCATAATAATAAAAAATAAGTTTTGGACAGTAAATTATTATACTGTAAATTTTACAAAATTTTCAGATACCAATCAGCTATCTCTTGTGTACCACGTATACAAATTGTGTAACTCTAAACGCCTTAGGATGATATATGTTGACATCAGTGCCGTTCCTAAAATTTGCGGGGCCCACAGCAAAAACCGATATTGCGAAAATGATAAAATTTGTTAATTGTAGCATAAAAAGGTATTGAAACATAAAAACTTTGGTGATATTTAATACAATTTAATATATATTTAATACAATATGCGAGTGTACACATAGGACCCGGAACAAGAGTGTTTTTCCGTAAAAATACGGCACATTGGAAGTCAAAATGGGTCTCGTAGATGCTGATATTTTTGTGAAACGTATAACCCAGAAAATACATTTATTTCTAAAGACGTTTGTACATGCTCAAACACCGCAATAAATGGTTATGTAATTGCAGTCACGTCGTTTAGCTGAAATCTAAATTGTAGATGTGCGATGTAAATTTTTGCACGATTATGAATAGGAATAGAAATAAAAATTATATCTAAGTATGTCTCATTTTAATATTTTCTGCGCTACGTGATCAATGCAAATTTTAACATTATTTTACGTGACACAACAAACACATGGTAGAAACTTTGACTTGGATTATGTAATAACCTGTAGCTGTTGGAGCGATTTTTACAGATGAAAACTTGTTCAACAAATAATCTTTACTTTTGCTGGATGAAATATTGTAAAATGTTTGATTACAAAACTATTTAGTGTGTTGCATAATCAATATTATCTAACTTATCTCCCTAAATTCAATCTGAGAAAAGAGGTCTATCAGGCATCTGCAATAATTCCTTAAAAATTTAAATGATCATACTAACTACGGTTTAAATATCTTCCAATTATACCAATATTGCAAAGTAATACCTTAATTGTACATTTTTTCTGGTAATGGTTACTGATTATGAATAATGTCTACATTTGTAAAAAATTGTAATAAAAAGAAACTCCGTTCTAAAAATAACCTTAACCTCTAAACATAGTCTTTTCAAACCGTAACTCATTCAGTATCATTGAGTAATAGTATCACGTAATTATATCCGTTGAAAATGATGTTACTCGGTGTATCGAGTTACCTTATACCGGATAAATGTAACTTGAGACAATCAACGCTCAGTTAGTATGGATTCTATTGTAATTGAAAAACATTTAACACAAACAGTAAATTAATCCTGGAAATTCTACGGAGTTAATTTACTTGTTAGAAAAAATTTGTAATATATTATGTCTTTTATTTCGAGGAAATTGTTTACTACTACACACGCAATATCGCGTGAGCGAAAATTTTTAAAACTCTTTTTGTACACATAATGAGTACTTCGAAATGTTCCCAATATACTACAAAGTTTATGGTAAATGACGCTAGCTCTTATCTGGCGAAATAGAAAATAGATAATAAGTGGCAAACATAGTGATAAGGAAACAATTCAAATAAGTAGATCGAAAAAATGAAGAACATTTTCGAATTTTACGTTGCGTTCTGCATACTTTGATGCATATACTGTTATCGATTAACATTTTTTCATTGTTATCTTATAAGAACAAGTGATCTAAGAACTTTGGAATGAACACAGATTTTAAAAGAGATCGATGAGTTTGATGATTACGAAACTTATCGTGGCGTGATGTTATCGTACTGGAAAACTGATTGATATATTGTTAAACAGATAAATGTTTGAAATAATATTAACGTTGTTAATTTGGATTTTAATGGAATAGATTATATTTTATATTTTCATACAATTAAATACTTATAAACTTAAAAATTTGCAAATTATACATTTACAAATTTATCAATTGACAAATTGCATATTGTAGATTTAGGAATTTATAAAGTATAAGCTCTCAAATTAATAAATTTTCAAATATACAAATTTACAAATTCATCACATGACAAATTGCATATTGTAGATTTAGGAATTTATAAATTATAATCTCTCAAATTTACAAATTTATCAACTGATAAATAGGAAATTGCAGATTCAGGAATTTATAAATTGTAATCTCTCAAATTATCAAGCTTTCAAATTTACAAATTTACAAATTCATTAATTGACAAATTGCAAATAGTAGATTCGGGAATTTACAAATTATAATCTCTCAAATTAACAAATTCGTTCAATTGACAAATTGTAAATTGTAGTCTCAGGAATTCATAAACAATAATCTCTCAAATTAACAAATTCAGAACTCACAAATCTCCAAATTTTCAAATGAAAAAAATAAAATTACGCTGCTAAAAATGCAGGATAAGAATGTTTACGAACATGAAACCTGTCATCAACGTAACGTCAGCAAATGGACATTTTCAGGAAAGCACCTGGTGCTAGTGACAGACCCGGAAATCGTCGAGGAAGCCTACGCGTTCGACAATCCTTGTTTCAAAGATGTCACAACATCACCAACAAACCGCACACGAGAAGCAACGATATCTGTGGCATCTGGGGACACCCCAGGTAAAGATTCTGCACGATGGTCTACTTCTTGGACATCCTTGGGACTTGGTTCAACTAACCGCAATGATAAGCGAAAAACTCTCGACGACTCCTGTCTTGGAGTAAGTGCTTTCTCTTTTTTTTCTCCTTATTTTGTGTCATCAAATCATATTAACTCTCTATATTTCGAAATCAGCGATAAAAAATTAAGGAAGAAAATTGAATCCTGGCTCTGAAGAGACTCATCGTGCGAGTGTTAAGTACATGTAAACATTACAAAGAGGTTTCCCTTAAAAGAAATCAGCGATGATTTTAAATTATACGTTTCAACATTCAAAACGCACGGTGTATTGTTCACATTGCCAAATTTGGCCGCGTGAACAGTTAATCTAGCCATCTTTGATACGTGCCCTTATGTTTCTTCACGAAGAGGAAGTCCATGCGTCGAATTACAAAGCTCGTTTCGAAAATACTCTGAACGTTATAACTTTCTCAAAAATTATTGTTATTTTGATACTCTACTATGTCTGTATGCATGTGTCTAAGTGTAAATTCAATTAATATAATTAACAATTTTTTGTGCAGCCGAAAACCACGAGAATCAGCGAAGTAAACTTGAAAAGTCGAGATTTCACGGGACTGGGATTTAATATTTGTGGCAATATGAGAGAGGGAATCTTTGTTAAGGATCTCTTACACCGTGGACCTGCATCAGAATCTGGAAAAATACATCCTGGTTAGTAATTACGTTTTATATCCGGAAACTGTATTAAGGTAATTCCTGCATTCTAACTTAAAAGTATCAAAAACATTTTGTTTTACAATTTTTATTAGGTTCTATTATAATAGAGGTTCCAGAATCAAAATTAAAACCACATCTGAATAATTGGTATTTGTATTATTCCTTTTAGCACTACTGAGTGTTTGCATTTCTTTTCATTCATTAATTTGGCATATACAAATTTTTCGGATCATTTTGACGAAATCAGATCAATTTTGTAGATTATTTAATATAATTAGGATTATCTTTGTTAATCTTCTGTAAATATCATTAATAAGATTGTTTTAAGTTTTATTATTTTCACAAATAATAGGTTTTACTTATGTCAATTGTTAAAATTTTAATTTGTTGACAATTTTATTTATATTTCCATTATTAATTTTCTACAGAATAATTATTAAAGGAATATGAATAAATCCTTCAGAAAACCATAATTTTTTGAGATTAGTATAAAAAGAACGGGGATTTCATAAGATTGCAAAGTATCATAAATTAACCATCTGTAACCACTGAAGTGATCAATTTGCCCCTACCTTAGGTTACACCATAGATATTCACTATTATATAAAGTAACATTAAAGAGAAGTATGCTATAATAATAATAATTAATGTATGATTAATATGTTTACAGGTGACCGCATAGCCAGTGTGAAAATCAGTTTTCGAAATATGGTATATGAAGATGCTTTAACAATCTTAAGCTACGCTTCTCCATATGACGTAAAGCTGGAAGTAGAAAGTGGAGGAATTGGGTCAAAACCGACCACTCTTTTGAAGAAGAGCGTTGGTCCAAGCGCAGCCAGAATTTGCCATCCTTTGTACAGAAGTCAATCAATTCCAGAACTCTCTCAATCCAAGAGCATCGCAAAAAGACTGTTTATAGTAGATCCAAACGAATCCATCAGTTCCAATTATTCGACGATGAACTCTACTTTAAAATCTTCCAAATCAACGCCCAGCAAACAACCTTTTGAAAAACGTCATGAAGAATCAAAAAGTAATCACCATAAGTTTGGTATCAAGGTTCTACCCGCTCTCGATGGAACAGTTCACCGAATTGAAAATCAGAACGAGCACAACACAAACCTCGAAAGAAGACATTCAAAGAAACTTGACAGAGAAAAGTATCTTTCCAACACGAGTAAAAGTTCCCTAGCGAGTGATAAAAAGGAAGAAGCACAACGACAACAGAATTCGCAAGTATTAACCAGACCTAAGGAGAAAACTGATGCTTTTGAGATGCGTTTATCTAACGTCGATACATTAGATAAAGGAGGAGATTCGTCAGTTCACATCCCACAGGAAGTACCAGCGGAAGTGCATAACGCAGCCATGGCTGCTCGCAGAAACAGGAAAAATAGCTCTGAACTGTTGAGCGCTCAGAAGGACATTGAGTCTGTTGAGGAAGATTCGAAGAATCAACAGAAGAACAAAAGAAAAGCTCCACCGCCTCCAACGAGCGAATACAACCCCGCGAAGAAGGATTCCTCTATTGCGAAGAAAGAGTGTGAAATTAACAGCATCAGTGACTTTACCGAATCTCTGACAGACTACGTGAACAAGGTGCGTGAAGACACCGAAACACCGAAGGTGGAGACCTTGATAATTGATGGAAGACATTCCGAGTCTGATACTGACAGCGAAATACAGAACAGCTTCACGACCATTGAATTAAATTCCACCAACATCACGATCCACCAAACACCTGTACCTGAGACGAACGACGACGAAGACGAAGAAGACGACGTTTACAGAAAGGCAGCGAGTTTGGGAGACCTGTCCAAGTACGAGTGCAAAACGTCAGCCACTCTTGAAAGGGCACAGAGTCTCGATATGACGGACACGGGCACGAAGAAACGCAAAGCGCCGCTTCCACCGGAAGATATCAATGAGTCTACAGAGGATCTGACTAAACTTGATCAGATGGACACCTTTGATAGACGGTTGCTGAAGAAATCGAATGAATGGGGCAACCTAGAAGATGTATGGCGTAAAAAGCAAGATGTGGAAGAGAAATCAAAGAAGTTGAGAGTTAGGAAGAAAAGCAACGAACGACCCAAGTCTTCCGTAGAAATTAAATTGAAAGATGAAGAAAATCCTGAAGACGAAACCAGCATTGAACTCTACAATCTTCCTTTGAGTAAAAGACTCACAGAGGAGTTTATTCGTGCGGAACGGATGTTCAATCCAGATGAAGACAATTCACTTGCCAGAATCGTGAACGATGGTACTGTCGTTAAGAGTCCTACCCTTGAAGAAGTAGAGTTACAATTCAAGCAGGAAGCATCATTACCTGAAGAGCTTAATAATGACAGCATACTGGATGAACATCTGTCCGACGAAGAGGATAAATTCAGTAAAGCTATGAAGCATTTTGAAACATCCTCAGAACGTTCATTAAATTTTCCAGAATCTTCTAAACAAGAATTACTACTAAACAGTAAATTGTATATTGGTAGGAAAATGGTGGATGAAGAGCCAATGACAAAGATTCACGTTAAAAGAGCATGTCACGCTTGTGAGGAGAATTGTAATCGTCACGAGAATTGTCAGAAAAGGTCTTTCTCTAAGCGGTCGTCTACTCCGATACCGTTGCAAGAAGAAGAATCTTATACTCATGGTGCAACGTTGAAGAACGAAGACAAAAGCGAAAACTCGTCGATGAATTTAAGGTCCAGACGAGTCATCGAGATTCAGAGACTCGATAGGGAAAATGATGAAGATGAGGACGAGTACGAGTTCGGCTCCGGTGTGACTATAAGCAATAAGAGTTTATTCGATCGCGAGGATCGCCGCAACATTAATAATATTAGTGTGTCCAGTGGTGAGAACAGTGAAGACAGCGGATTGGTTGGCGAGTCTATGGATTACCATACGCAGGACTTTGACCACAGACCTCCATTACCTACCACGCCCATGCCACAGAAAATGACGTATATTACGGAGATCAAACTCTCTGCCAACGGTGGAAAGCTTCAAGAAGATGATAGTGATGAAACAAAAGAAAAGGAGAGCAAATTGGCGCAGAACGAAATGAAAACGGTTTCGAACGGTAAGGCTTCTAGCAAAAAGCCCCCAGTTCCTCCTAGACGAACGGACATTATGAAGTCCAGTAAAAAAGGAAATATCGAAAAACAAGTTATTTATGTGTCTGAATATAAATCAAACGAATCGAAGGAATCAGACGGGTCAGATGTGAGTCAAGAGATCAAACAATCGGACACTGGTTCACAGAAACATGATCAGTGGACGCTTTTGGAAGATAAACAGCAGAATCGATGAGAATAGCCTGTATACCAGTGAACTATAATCAGTAATACTTTCAGATATTTAATGTATGATTCTTTAACGCATTCTTTTAACACTGGGATAGCAATAAATTCCAGTTCTTGAAGAAGTCCAGTTCTGACAGACTGTTAAGTTGTTGCGCATGAACAAAATTTGAAGAAAATAACTACGCGAAGATTTGCATGTTGTCTCGAGTCCCGAAAAACTGAACTTCGAAAGAGGATACAAAACTTGAGATAACATTCGCAAACTGTTACCAATCTCCAATCTTTTATACCTCAAAATGATAAAGATATCAATGAAACGTTTATGTAGTCATTTTCGTCAAACTTTAAACTTCAAATTTATACGCCATAAGTACTATTTTGCGGTACTTTTATGTTATCAAATCATGTCAGCTTTTCCATGCTTTAAAATCGTCCATTTGATATACAACAAGCTAATACTAATATCATCTGTTCGTCATTAATTGTATAGAAATCTATAAGAAAAAGATTACTATTATCGGCAATAGAAATTTGATATTATGAAATTGAAAAGCAATTATAACATATTGTACTTAACCTTTATCGCATAGATGAAGCAGATGTCGATCGCTATATGTATGTATTATCATATGCTCAGTTTGAATAGATCTGCTCTTAAACTAGTCGAAAAAAATTTGTATTTAGTATCTTCATTGATTCTCTGAAAAGACTGGCTCTTGTTTGAAGGCACGTGTTTTTCGATGATTTGATAAAGGTGTTTGTTGTTGTAAGTAAATTGTATTTATTTTACAACGTCCTTCTTGTTTTAAAAATTGTTACAATTAAAATCTTGTATTATACATAAATCGCATCTTTATAAGATAGTGCAGTATTAGGAAGTATCATGTGTATCAGGAATCGTGTATTGACAATAGCATTTTTATATGCAATTTTTCTTTATTTTTATAATGCAAATGGATATTAATTAAATACTGAATTTAATATGCAGGGTGTACAAGAAATTATGAATATCTGCGCCAAAATAATTCTCCCGCTTCGATGCAAGAAGAATTCCATGGGACCATATTTAAACTATACTAAATATAGGAGGAGTTTAATGCAGATTTTACATACTGTTATGGCGCCTATAATGAAATTAATATTAATTACCCATATTATAGACTGAAAGTGCAATGATGTTAAGTAAATTTAATCGTTTAATGATAAAAATAAATTAATATCAAAGCACACACTTCATAAAATCAAAATTAGTATATTATAAATATTAAAAAATTAATATTAATGATTCTTGGTATTATGTGATACTTAAACAACTTGATCGACACCAACTCAATGCGGGGTAAAAGGGTGTACAAAAGTTATTCAGATTATTTGTAAACGGTTGTTGATATACAAAATTTTGTTGTATTCCTCATTAACACAAAGTTGACAGTGACTGAGTAACATGAGGCAAAGCAAAATAATATGATGAAATGCTGTCACTATAGCTTAAAAATCTTATATAATATTTAAATCGTTTTATTAACACACTCAATACACTTATATAAGGTGAAAATAGATAACGATATAACTAATGTCTTACAAGGTAACAGGGAAAATTAAAAAAAATAAACACTTGGAATATGTCAAAGTCATAAGTTTTACTAAAATATATATTTCTAATCTTTCATATTAATATTAATTTTTTATATGTATACATCTACATAAATAATTACTATAAAAATATTTTCTACATATAAAAATGTAAAAAACTCTATAATTTATAGAGATACATATCTTCAGTAACACATTATATAAAACATTAATAAAATAACGATATTCTATGAAATTATCTTAAAATGAATAATTTTGAAACAAATAAATACAAGTGCCAAATAACATTTTTCAATCAAATACTGTAGTGTTTAAAATTGTTTTAAATGTTGAAAAATGATAACACAAAATTTTACTAATATAGGTACATTTTATAGGAAAAGGGATACGCCATTTTTTGCTCTATTGAGTATTCTATTAGATTTTCTATATTAGAAAATAAAGAAATAATAACATATATCGTTACATTTTAATAGTATGTTATATTTCTTAATGAAATGCTTTTAGAATAGCAATGTTATAATTATAATCTAGTAGGAAATGTTTGTTTTATCCTCTTTTGTATCAAACATTAACTTAAAAATTGATATAAAAAAAAAACATTAATACCATTAATAAAATAATAATAAAATTTAAGAGAAACACCTTTACCTCATGTTACTCGTTATACTAACAATTTATTGTACAGAAAATAATGTATATGTATGCAGAGTATTTCTTAAAATGTAGTATAAACATTATATAAAATTTCAAGTAAGTTAATAACTCTCAATTAATTATTGAAATAAGTACTACATATTATGAAACACTCTGTACATTTTAAATTTTGCCGCGATTTATTGATATATTTTAAGCGTTCAAAGTTTAAAGGTTCTATTTCACATTATTGAATCCGTCCGTTATATTCTTATTATTAATAGGGTATATTTTTACCCAGGAAAAATGCTAAAAATGCTAAAACTGAAATGTTAAATTATACGTGTGTATATAGGATAATTTCAAAATAGGTTATCGAATTTTGAGAGAACATTCCGTTTATTCAGAGCTGGTTTCTTTCAAAAATGATAAATTTCAATATTTAATTAAAAAAAAATTTGTAATGTAATTATGATTCTTCTTATTAAACAAACATATTAGATTGTATAGAAAATTCTACACAGAATTCTTTCTTTTCTTGAAATATTTATTTAGTTTTATTAAACAATATCTTCAATCTACAATATAGACATCATTGTTATCTATAATAAATATTAAATATTATAATAAATATTATGGCTATTATCTATAATATCTATAAGCATAAATATCAATGGTGCATTTATTGCAGATTGAGATTGTGATTTAATAAAATGTAATGATTTTAAAAAAGAAGGAAATTCTGCACAGAACTTTTTGCACAACCTAATACTACAGTTGTATTTAATTAAACACTTAATGCTTAGTCTTTTATAGTTGTACATAAATCTTTGGCATAAAATCAAAATTATGAGAAGGAAAATTTTAATAATTTATTATGTTTTCATTGATGTTTGAAGTGAAGAAATAATGAAATAATTTCATATGTTGAAGATATTGTTAACTCAAGTACATTGATACATTGTTTGATTTAGAATAAAAGACTGAAATGTTGTTTCAAATTGTTATTTCTTACTTCAAAAGGGCAGAACACTTTTGATAAACTACATTTTAAGAAAGTTCCAGTTAATTTACAAGATAGAATATTAAAATGGGTGCTCTTCCTAGTCCTTTTTTGCTTCGATAACCTGTTTTAGAAACACCCTGTGTGCATTTTATCTATTCGCAAGGCTGTGTGCACAGTTCAATATTATTATTAAAAAAAAAGGAATATTCGTATAAGTTACATAAATATATATCATTCAGTTTTATGACAAAAAAATTGCCTGAACATAAATAATAAGAATTTCTATTTTGATATTTTATAGATTGTTATTAGCAGCAAGATGAAATAAACTTATATGTAAATACTATGATGCATGAAATTAGAGTAAGTCATTTTATAATTCATAAATTTTTAAAGAGTTCAAGTGCAATGTCATTAATTAAAACGTATATACGTGTGTATATTTTGAGAACATAAAAATGTATGGTTTATCATTGTAAATAGAGGCCAGTTACAAATATTTTTTACTTATAAATGATTTAATTTGAAGAGAATTATAGAAAACAAATGTGAAAACTTTCTTAAACTGTTCAACATTACTAAACGATTATATAACATTTAAAAATTTTAATGAAATTTAGTAATTAACTATGTGTAAGCAAAGATAGGATCTAATACACTGTTTGAGTTATGTATTTAAATATTATATTACGTTTTTATTAACGTTAATTTACATTTTATGAGAAAAAGAGCTCAATTCAATGCTTTAAGAATGTTATAAATATATCATAATAAGAGAATGTATTCAAAATAACATGTATAACAAATGTAAATCCTTAGTATTGTTCAGCCAGTGTTAAATCATTGACAATATCTGAGGAAAATCCATAAAGATCTATACACTAAATAACATATTAAACTTTTCAATTTATTTCTTTGTATGTTATTATCTCCATCCATTTTTTGCTTTTTATACCATTGACAAGTGCTGTTATGTAAGTCAAACAGAGCAATTCATTTTATAGAAATAATGAAAGACAGAACAATAAAATTTAATTAGTTAACACTATATATATATATATACACACAAAATGAATATAATAATTAAGGATATAATACACATATGGATTAGGATCATTTTTGTGCTTAAATTTACTTTTTTTCTTTATAAAATGAAGAAATGTTAAAATCTGTTTTTTAATGTATATAAAATGTTGTAAATATATTTTATTAATACTCTTGATGACATTTTAATTCTTTCATAATTTAATTAAACTTTATGTTTTTATTTTCATTATTGTATTCAAGTACTTCAAATATTATTTAACATAAAACCTATTTCATTTTACCTATTTCATTTTACCTATTTACATATTAAAAATAATTATAATTTTTTCTTAATCATAAAAGTAGTGGCAATCATTTACTTATGTCCTAATATTAACACAATATTTGTTCAAATGAAATTAATTTCATTATATCAATCTTATAAATATTATAAGACATGGTAACAAATAAATTTTCACCCTCTAAGTAGCAGACTGTTTATAGTTCTTTGTACTCATTAATTTTTTACCACACATAGCACATATAGCTTTCTTATATGCACATGACTGACAATAATGTGATCCAACTTGATGTACTTTTTGTCTACATATCCTGCAGGTCTCAAAAGTAGCAGTATATGGATTAAATCTTGCCTTTCCTGCAGAAAGTGCTTTATTTTCACCAACTTTACGTCCTCCACTTTCTACTGTATTTCTAGCTCCGCTTTTCCATGGATCTGGGGTTATTACTCTTCCTAATTTTTTCTCACATTTCTCACACACCATTTTGAGTTACCCTTATAATAAATTTTAATCCTAAAATATAAAATGACATTATTATAACTGGTTCACAGTTGATTTTAAAATTAAGTATGATACCATTACCTATAAAATGATATAAAAAATTAAATTTCTTAGTTTACATTGTTAATTTTATACTTTAAATAAAATTCAATAAAACTTATTTTTATTAAATTTATAAAGAAGAAATAATCATGTATGTAAATAATACATTACCTGATAAAAACAAATGACACCAGGTAGTTAACCTCAATAATACGTCGCAGTATCAAAAGCTACATATATTGTGCTATAAGCTATAGTCACTGCCTATATATGTAAATATGTATATTGCAAGCAAATGATGTTTGCCTAATTTTATCAATATCAAAGAATTACATAAAGATGTAAATTATATTAGCTTTCATTAATGATAGTTATTATAACAACTATGTTACGTGCGATAAACTTTTATTTCCAATAATTCAAATATTTTATCCATTGGTGTAACTAGGCAGGGGCCAAGTTGAGCTTAAACCGCCCCTGATTGCGGGCTGGTGCTTTCACTCACACTTACCTAGAAATGATCAAAATACACAAAAAGATATATTTTAAATTTGCAAATGCTTACATTTATAAATTAATAAATTTCTAGGTTCAGAAGTTTTTTAATTTTCAAATTTCTGAATTTCTAAATTATCAAATTTCAAAATTGTCAGGTATCAAAATTTCCAAATTTCTTTTTAAAAAAATTGAAGAGTGGTATTGGCCAATAGTATAACAAGATTCTACTGTACATACCTAAATTTAACCTATACATATATTACATAGCATATTCACCATTATGAAATAATGAACTCGTAAAATAAATCCTGCTAAAGCGTGGCTGAAGATTGCTATCAACCTTTTCAGGATCGTATACTATGTTCTGATTTCGTTTTAATACATTGTGTGCATAGAGTATATTGACACTCTATAAAACCCTTCTGCATACATGCAACCCTTATCATCCGTAAACTATTATTTCGGCGGTTAAATTCTATAGATTTTAGTTTTTGAAGAGATTTAACGAGTTTGTTATTTTCCTAGTGAAGACTATATTTATAGAGTAGCAATTTAAAAGCTAATTTGTAGGGACATGTCTGAACTAGGGTAACTTGACACCTCAAACAAAAATCCTAATTATGTCAATGAACATTATAATACAACTCAAAGCTTTAATCGCAATTAATTATATGATTTGTACTTATAACTAATCCTTCTATGTACAATATATGCTCAAAAATAGCGAATCTTTTATGTATATTCATTGTTCCATATTTCCAATCGCATAGAGTAAACAAGTTGTACAGTGAATTTAATTTTATTTTTAACTTCTAACCAATATTTGTTAGCCCTTTAGCGCAGTAGAGAATAAACATTAATTTAAGCTGTAGACATCGATATTTTATCGAAAAATAATTTTAATTATTAACAGTTAATTTTAGACAAAAACAAAAGAAAGAAATAAAATAATGTTAGCATAAAAATTTATACGCAGTCTGATATTTATTTATATTTAGCAGCTGTATATTTCATTTCAATGAAAATTTCAATACAAACTGACGAATAACTTTATATTCGCTTGAAATGAAATTCAAAAATAAATTTCTAAAATTCAATATTTCAGTATATTGTTATTTAAAAAGTCAATACAAATAATATGAAATTTTTTAATCAGTACGGGTATTTAAAAATTAGTACGAATGATTACTAATTAATCACAATTGTAATTTTTATAACAGCTTTTTACATATTACTAAACAATCGAAACGATCAAAAACTTTATAGTTGCCTGGGACAGAAAATTTTGCGCAGTATCTGGCGCTGATTTTCGGTAGCTTGATTAGGATTACACGATCAACCCTCTAGACGAAAATAGTGGACAATGTTAGTGGTGCTGAAGGGGGTTGAAGGAAAATTCGACGCTAAGGGTGGCGTACAAGTACGGGCGCCATCTAGTCCCTCAGTGCCTGACTATCCGCACGAAAGAACCGTGTTCTCGCGTTCTGATTACCAGATTATTGGCGACATTTCGTGTGACAATTTGATTCAGTGTATCGTGCTATAACAAAGTGACGAGTGCACGCTTCACGACGGATACAAAAAGGTAATTTAAAAGTAATAACCAAACATCTTTCTGGCATACTTTGTTCGGGTGGCTGCCATCCTCGATGCCAGCACGCGTTAACGTGTTGGATCGATTCCTCTTTCTCGCAAGTCGTGATACGATATGAAACTTCGATGGAAGGCTCGATTACATTATTTTACCTTTTTATCGCAATTGAAATCTGCATTTCATGTTATATTTCTTCTATGTGCATTAAATTTGATCGAAAAATGTACGGCTTCGATGTTCAGATGGGTCGACTCACCCTCGAAATCTCTGGATTGAAAGACGCTTACAGCCAAAGCCCTTATTTCGTCCTTTTTTCGTGAAATTTCTACCTAATTCGCATTTTGTATAATTTTCGTCGGTTCATGATTGATTTGAGAGAAAAAAAATCGAATCTTGTACTTATTCTTTAAATGTGAATTGACGTAAAATCATGCGATCGATTTTTCGATAGTTGAAAGGGAGAAATTCGATCCTGTCCCTTAAAATATGAGTCAGACGATGTGCAATTCTTATTTAGATAACGAGAATCAGGACTTGCTGTGTTCGATGCTCTCATTCTGAAACAGATCCATCCAGAAGCTCATCGTATCGTTTTTCACTTCATAATAATTACAGTCGTTTAGATATATATTTATTTAAAAAATCAATCTTCCTGAAATGTCGAATTGATTACAAAAAAAGTAGAGCATGTTTTCCGATTGTTGGTCCATGATTTTTGGACAGATAATATGGTTTCGGGATAAAGTGTCGTTTTATTCGAACAAAAGTTAGTTACTAAATTTAGCACCAAAAGACATTGACATATAGTGTAACAAAAAACTTGAGTTATAAATAATAAATCATGTCAAGATCCTATCAGCTGAGACTTATAGCTCAGCTAACGGAACGTTCAGATGCAAACATATTTGTGCAAATAAATAAATAAAAATGAAAAAATCGTAGTCTTATTTCGCGATTTTGTTAAAAATTAATTTGCATTAAATAACATAATATGTGTTTTGTTGAATATTACAAATATGTAGGTGTAAAGAATATATTAAACATCTTTAACATTTTTTAAATATTTTCAATCATGTTTTGTGGAAAAATTTATTTTTAAATCTTTTGCATAGTGTCATACAAATATTTTTCACATTAGATTATAAAGACAAATTAGAATAACTTAATCTATCTTTTTCAAATATTTAAATATGAGAATAAAACCGAGAAGGTAATATAAATAATGAAGCTATATACAAATTTATAGTAATATTTATTTTCATCAACATTTGATTAATTAAATTTTCCGTAACCTCACAATTGAAAACAATACCGCCACTGACGTCGGTTAACCTAAGAATTTTTTATCTTCTTAAAAATTAGTTAAGCAACTATGATAATCTAGGTTTCATTTTGTACAGCGATGTCCTAAAACGGTATAGTACGTGGAGATAAAACGTGATGCGATATAACGAAAGTCTACCGGAGATGTTTTCAATGTAATATCGATTTTTGCCTCGGGCCCCACAAACTTTAGCAACGGCTCTGGTTGAAAATACAGTTGAAGTGTTGTGCTAATTTTAGTATGCATGTATTTCTAGTGTCGTGATAATGTTATTATTTAATTTCAAAATAGTATATATGATTAGTTTCACGGCGTTTATTTACGGATTTAAAATATGTAACATCTTCAAAACTAACATCTTGCAAGCGCGAGGCACGCATATCTGTGACATCCTATACCGTAAGCCTAAACTTACTAGAGGCGGGGGGATTTGAAATACTACATCACGGATGGACCATATTATACATACCATATCCACGAAAGTTTGGTCATTAAAAGTTTTTGTGTGCATCTATAATTTATCGCAAAAAAAGCGAAACAGTAAATGTATTTCTCACTTGCACATTTATTAAATCATTTCAGTTTCTTTTTTTATTTTGTATAGCTGAATATTAACATCTTATTTAAACGTTTTTTCAGTCTAATTAACTACATTATTATATCATGATATATCTTACCTTTTGTATTATACTTTTCATTTATTTATTGTAAACATTATTAAAATGTAGACATATAGTAAAAAGTAATAATTTATAGCTGGCCAGAAATGAATAGCAAAATGTAACAACATGTTATGGTTACAATGAAAATCTGGAATTAAAGAGGTCGTAAGGAGAGATCGAGCTGGAGAAGCATAGAAATACACGGTACACGAATTAGAATAATGAAATATCCACATATTTTTCAAATTAATCATAAAGGAAAGCAGGTACAATATAGTAACAAACTATGCAACTAAGGCAGACTTAAAATGTGCCGATTGTATCTACTGATGCCAGTGACCTTCTATTGATTCCACGCTCAACGAAGCACGGGCCAAACCCTCGTCCTTTCTTTCACCCTATACACACTTTCTCGTCTTTCATCTTCTTTTCTTTATGTTTCTTCTGTTACTGTCTTCATATTTTCCTCAAACCCGCAATACTTTCATCTTTTTGTCTTTGTTTCGAGTAAAACCATTCTTATTTTCTGTTCTGTTCACTTTTTGTTTTCCTTCGTTTCTTCTCCCAGGTTGTCTTTTGTTTTATCAATATTCATATCCTATTATTTTCATTAATATGACTGCAATGTTCTACTTTTTTTTTTTTCTTTTTTCTGCATATTTCTTGCGTGTATTTTGTGATTAAAGTATTCACTTGATACAAGTATTTTGTATTTATTATATTGTTAATGTAGGTATATGTATCAAATTTATAGGTTATATGGATATATTGATATTATTGGAATGTTATTATCGATAACATCGTTAAGGCAAATAAGAATAATCGAAGTAGAACGTAACGGGTAATTTTATTATTCAAATCTACTTATTCTTATTTGGTTTTTAAATCTAACATACATTAGGTTTAACGTTTAAATAAAAGTTGATTTAAAAAGGATTGTACATTCATCATACCTCGATCACTCCCATTGTTCTTAAAAGTATTATCGATATATCGTTTAGATATTCAAAACTGCGCCGCGTAATTTTCTGATTCATATTTATTTGTTTTTGTCAAAGCTTGAAACCTAACCTAACTTCATCTAATTGGATACATAATTTTATCGTTAATAAATTGATTAGAATAATAAAATTACTCATTACATAGTGCTTCGATTGTTCTCAGAAGCTTAATAATGTGTTAATGGTATTATCGATATATCAAATTATTGATAATATTTCAATATTATCGATAATAGCACTTCTAATCGATATGTACGTTTGCTATTAAAGTACACATTTAAAGTGATGCACTTTTTGATATAAAGTATAAATTTCAGTAATGTAAAGTAAAGTATAAATTTACATTAAGTATAAATTTCAATTTACTTTGTGTATAGTTTATTATAAAGTTTTTATATCGAAAATAGTACTACAGTTGTCAAATGTTATAATGCCAATCACGTAAAATAAATTGAATTTTATGTTAGGTTTCAGAAATGATAAATGTAACGATGTATATAATACCGTACAATTCAATTAATATAGTATTATTCGAACAGTATAAAGCCTAAGTGATTGAAGTATCTGTTACACTAGCAGTAAACAAAGCTTGATACATGTATGCGCGGTCTATACTACTGTTCATATGAAACGTAGTTTCAATAGAAATCACATTCAGTTCTAATTAAATTGTAAAATAATTTTTCTATGTTATTAAGAAATGAAATCAAGTAGGCGATGTTATGTACTTAAAATATCACCTGCGATGCGTGTATTCAAGTATCGATAAATTAATCAATAACTCGGGTACCAAGTTTATGTTTATTTTAGGACTATCCAACTTTATAAGTATTTACAATACCGTAATAACGATATTGTAGTCAACGTATGTGATTAAACTTTTTCTTTCTTACGATCATAATTTTAAACAATACTGTTATTACATGTTTTTATTATTTATAATATTGCTAAAGAAAGATACATTTTAATATAGATTTTGTAATGTACGTGTTTATTAATGTTTTAATAACTTTTAAATATTTTAAGTATTTATTTTATTTTCGTTCATCTCATTAAAGTATTTTAATTAGCTTTAAATTATATCAATAATTAACTTCGCGCGCGGATTCGAACTGATGACTCCTCGGTGTTGCAAACAATTTTGTTCACTCGACCAACGATGTTTTCGAAATATTTTGATAACTTTTTTATTCAATTAATCATGTTGTAATTATTCTTATTTGTTAGTATTAATTCTTAAGAAGGTGTTTCAATATAACTTTATATTATTTTTTATATTTTAGAATGGACAAGCTGTTAAGAGAAATGAATGTGGAGTGGCGATGACAAGCCTGATCTTGGAAAACGCAGACTTGAACCGACTTTTCCCGAAATGTCGGCCTAGGGGTGGCCCACCCCCGAGTCCGGGGGCCTCCACGCAGATCAGTCAGCCGCATGAGAGCCTCTGCCAGAAGGAGGCCGTCTCTGTTACCACCAACCTCACGAGTACACTTGCAACTACGTTCGCAAACACTCTCACGACCACCCTTGCAATTGCTTCCAAGAACACACATTCAACGCACTTTCACGCGATACCGGGAGACATGATCGACTTAGAGCGTGATATCTCTGATAGGTAAATTTACACTGATTTATCGATCATTGATCCGTTTCGAATATCAGACTGAATTTATTTAACATACTAAAATATAAAATTAAAAAGGTTTACTGCTGTCATAGTAATTTTAATGTTGTTTCAGTCACTTTCAAAATAAAGGTAAATTTCAATTAGTTTCAAAACAAAAAGTGTAGCATGTAATGAATTTATTCGTTTAAATTGTTTGTATTGCTTTTTAATTTTATGTATCTATTTTACGTTTGAAAACAAGTATTTATAGTAAATATGCAATGATGAAACTTTTATATTACAATTTTCTTTATATCCCAGACATTCTACTCTGTGTAGACAAAGATTTATTTTAAAAAAATTCATATTATTAATACATAACTATATACATTACACTTTTTGTATAGCATTGAAAAATTAACTTGAACTATTTAATTGTAGTGCATTATAGCATTCAACCTAGTGTATTAAATATATTTAAAAGATATAATTAATGCTTTAGCAAATTTTTTAAAATGATAATTGAATATAAAAGGTAATTTGAAATGTTTATAATTTATAGGACAGCGAGCATGGTGTCTGGTTTCGCAGGTGAGAGTCAGCTATCCGTTGGTGTCAGCGGTGGCAGTGGCAGCGTTGGTGGTCCACTTGGAACATTTAGCTCACTTGGCACACTTAACACAAAACCACTTTCTTCAAGTTCCTCGTCTGCCTCTGGGCACAGTGAGGATGCACAACAATATGGTAGTTTTCCAGGAAGTGATCACCAGAGTCATTCACAGCAGGATGATAGTGGCCCCGAGGAAAGCCCTGTATACATTTTAACTTCTGCTAAGGGTGACCGTAGTTATAAACTAATGGATTCAAGGTAAATTACTTTATTTTTTAGATTAAGAAATATTTTGTTATTGGTAGAATACCCTTTATTATTTGTCTTACAACATCACAGGAAAGTTTATAAAACTTTAAATATTTTATTGTTATAGTAAACTACAATTTTTATTCTTGTTTATTACCAATTTTGCCTTCGTTTGTCTCTGTCTCCATAATTTTTTCATTCAATTTATTTTCTTCACGCTTCCTCTTGGTTTATCTATTTCTCTGCAATTCTTATTTGAAAAATAGAAAGGGAATAGCTTCAGATCAGTAATTTCAAAAAACAAAGTAGTATAAGTTCTAGTGATAATTTCTAGTAATATTGAAAATAAATTTATAGTATATTATCTATGACAATGTAAACATCATTTTTAGTGCAAAAATTAAAGATACATATACTTTCTAAATGTTTAAAGGTAATAATACTCAATTTCAGATATTAATAATATATTTTAATTTTGATAATAATATTTTTTAATTGTTTTAGTATATGTATTATAGAAATACAATTTATATTTTTCGATTGGTAATATTTTATTTTTATATGTACAATAAATTTAGGAAAGAAATACCAAATTTAAATACATAATACACGATTGTATTGTCTCTATGTATTAAATTCTGTGTTATGTATTTCACAAAAATGTTTTCTCTTAAGAATTTTTTAATCAAAAACTTTATGCTTTAAAACTATTTTTTCACATAAATATAAATAGAAGATGATCGTAATTTAATTTAGTTACAGCCAGACGTTCATAAATCTTATTCATATTTTGAAACAATCGATAAACTTGTCAATGACATAATCGAAGTATAGTCGATAAGCAATGTGTAGTTATTGAGGTTAGACATATATTTGTTCTTCAGTTTCATTTATCGTGATTGATAAAAACAATAAATCATACGAACTAATTATTATAATAACAATAAAATTTTAAACAAATACATTTTTTCATGAAATGTAAGTAATAATTAGATAATTTGATATAATCATATTGAAATGAAATTCGTCCATATTTTTTGTTTACATCATTTTATAGATACATTATTGATAGATAGTAATAATTTAAATAAAAGTAAATAATTTAAGATATTTTTTATTTATTTATTTGTTGAAACAAAAGTTTGATGTAAATTGTAGGTGTTATGTATAGAAATAATAATTGTGTACTGTATGACCCTTCTTAATATTTTTGTTAAAAAAAAAGCACAAAATAATAAAAATATTAAATAATTCAAACACTTGTATGATTTTGTTATATTTTGTTATATAACAAAATTGTCATTTACAAACTTGTAAAAATTTGTATATATGTTATTTAGTACACAACAAAATCTTTTGGTTTCACATTACTCATAAGCTATATTAATTTGTTATAAGATTATGTTTAATACTGCACTAATCATTGTCATACCTAATTTGAGGCAGATTGGATATTATTTCTTCAGTTATATTTTTATTTTTTAATGTGATATGGTTATAAATTCAAGTGTTTAATTTTTGTCATTTGGAAAAGTATATAAAAATGCAATAGATCATGTTTTTTAACATTCGTTAAAGATTTTATTCTTCATCAAAATTATACAAAATTATTGTGCCCATTATTGGTTTCACACAGTTTCAAGTACTATGTTAAATGTACCGATAATTATATTTAGTTTTCATTTTTGATTGTCTTCACAGTATATCTCATAATTTAACATTTTTAATCACTGTTACAGATTAACTACTGTTAATCTTTAAGAACTGTTTCATTTCATTAAATTCTCCCCATAAATCAATTTTTATGTTTTTCTAACATAGAATGCAAATTTGTTAAATAAATCTTATCCCCTGACATAAGTTATAATGCAAAGTACCAATCATTGTATAGTTTACTCTATTTTAGTAACGACAATTAACATGATTTAATCATATTTATAAATTGTATAAAACTAAAGTCATTTGTTAAATCAAAAATATTCAATACAAAAGTTTACATACAAGTATAATGAATAATTAGTTTGTTTCTTTATTTAAACCAACCATATTATTATTAGTTAAATTTAAATGCAATAAGTATTTTTTAAGTTTTATTTATAATTAAGTTTCGTACATAGTACCTTTTAAGTATTAATTTGATTGATTAAAATAGTTTTATGTACATATAATTGAAACTTAAACTCTATATTTTTTATTTTATTGTATATTTTGATTATTTCTTTTCAACAGAATATAAGAAATTGTATTAAGTAATTGTGTGTTTTATTGAAATAGGAAGATATACCTCTTTTATATGATTACAACAAATTAATATGCTTTAAGATTTTAAAAATAAATTCTTGCAGTTAATCACAATAAACTTTATTATATTTGAGCAAAAAGGAGTTTTCTATAATTCTGATAATTTTCAGATACAGAGAAAAACGTAATATTATTATAATTATAATAAAAAATTAAGAAGAAACTCATTTATAAAACCATGTATAATTGTTTAAATCCTTCTTTACTGTTTTATGTTTTCTGTTACAATATTTCTATTTTTTAGAAATATACTTTTAATAATTGTCATATGAAATAAATTTTATTGAAGGAATTTAAAAGAAATGTAAAATAAATTTGGTGAAAATATAAAATTAATTTTATTTCAACACATATTAAATTACGTTTATTATATTATAAGAACACATTATTTTTAACTATCTTTAAAATTACTAGATAATTATTATTTTTTAGAATCATAGAAATTGCTGGTGGACGAGAAGTTTTTTCTCAAAGTCGGGGTAAGGTAGCAGCAAGAAAATCACGCTTTCTTGCTGCATCAAATTCCTTGAATAATGAAGATATTCAGACAGATAACAAGCTATCTGTTAAAAGAAATAATAAATCACCAAATACTCAAACTATATGGGAATTAAGAAGCCGGTAATTTGAAACTTATTATTTACATATTAAATGTATTGGTACAGTTAATAAACTAGTATTCTGTTTTCATTAATGCTTTCTAGATGTGGTGATACAATAAAGCAGCGTTCAAATAGAGAAGTAACTGAAACTGTATTTTCTTCAGAAATACATTCAGTGCTGCATAATCCAACAAAATCCATTCATGATTATGATTCCCCTAAGAGCAATCATAGTAACCACATTATTAGTTATGACTCAATTTTGAATAGCAATAACGTAGAATATGGTGTATCAAAAAATACCACAGATTTTGATTATGGATTATCAAAAAGTTGTATAGATTATCAATCGAATCATACAACACCAGCAAGAAGCATGGCTATTGTTAGTGATGGTGAAGTTGTCGTCTTTGATGACATTGATGATAACTGGCAAAATCTACGATTAGATTTAACTTCTAATAATACCAATCAAGTTACATCAACTAATTTAAATTTGGAATCTGAAGAATCTCAAAGAGGTCGTATTCCTCCAGAACCTTTGAGTTCTAGTATTGGAAGCACTCCCAGTCCTACAACGGCATATCATCGTAATACTTCAGAGTTTTTTAAGGTAAACTTTTATTAAAAAAATTTTATGCATATATTCAAAGCAGATATAAATAAATAGCACAAATTTTGAAGGAAGGTACTTTTAATCCAATTAAAAAATATATACAATTTTTTTTAGGTGATTACGCCCGCTAGTGATTGTGAAGTTGATTCACCATCTTCAGAACGTAATCACAAAGTAGCAAGAGTAATTGGTGAATTACCAATAGCGCAGTATTCTGAAAGTCCAAGACGTTATGGAGTGCGTGATACTCAACTTCCTTGTCTTCTATCATCACCATCTGTATATATGACACCAAGACCTGGCTTTCCCCAGAGAGTATTACCAACAACACCAAGTCATAATGAGGTATATTAAAGATTTAAAAATAATAATTAGTCATTTCTCTGTTATTATATTCAATTTTATTTTAAATGCATATTTTCTTTTCAGAAGGAGGATACTTCTGCAGAAATTATTGTAGAAAAGGCTGTGGTAGAAACAAATATGAACTATTCTGATGATCAAACTGCAAATGCCTCTTCTCCAAAAGTGGAGGACGAAGAAGATGATTCTTTAAAACCATCAACTTTGCCCACTGACAACATAAGTAACTTAGTATCATCTGGTGGTAGCACATTTGACTATTTATATGAATTTTCTGAAACTCGAAAAGTACTTGAAGAATTTTTTAAGTGTCCACCGCCAACAAAGGAAACAGAAAATAGCACTGAATCTTTCCCATTTCAGGTATCAATTTTAGCTAAATATAATTGTACTAATGTGTTTCAATGACAGCTTAAGTTATGTATATAAATTTGTTTTCTCATTACAGGATCTTGATTATGAATTAAGAAGACAAGGGGGAAGCAGTTATGTTGGCCAACGATTAGCTAGTGGTCCACCAACAACGGAAGAAGTTTTGGTACATGAATCTCCTAAAAAACAAAGGACTGAATTTCCACAAAATGTAAGTTTGAATGAGTTCAAATTATTTTACATTTCTTTACTCTCTCTTTAAGATTTCTGTAGGCAACTCCTAGGCTCTTCTATGATTTTCTCAGCTTCTCCTTAATTTCTTCCTAGAAATTTATAATTGTAAAAGTTAAGGAAATTAGAACTTTTTAATTTGATAATTTGGAAGATTCCTAAGATATCTCTAGTTTTTCTCTACCTTCTTTTGTAAACTATTCCTGGATGTTCGTACATATTAATTATAAACTCAATTTTTACTTCAGTCTTATTATGTTGTTCGAATTATTTTTAGACTGGTGAACACGAGAACAATTTCTTAGACCTCTCAGTAGGCACTGGTAGTAGTGAGGATCTCGGGGAAACGGAAGTCGGATTACAAGTCGGACATTCTCGTAATTTTACGTTAAGTCCTGAAACGACTGATTGCGATAGTAACTGTGGAGATCTCGATAGTGAAGTTTCTTTAATGATGATGGATAATGAATTGATACCGGCTAGCGGTCTACTTGGATCTGTTGGTGACTTAGGAAATAATTCGGATTCCTTAAGAATATATACTAGCATGCCGGTCCTTGAAGATGGTTTATCTAGCGGACACGCCAGTGATACTGATAATAATAATCCTACTGTGATGCTGATGAAGCGACAAATTAATGAGATCGAAAAGGAGATTATCCAAAGAAGTCGTGTTAACGACGCTGGTCACCCTACTGTTACAGAAAGAGATTCAATAGGAAAAGATCTTTCTGGTTTAACAGTTAGCAAAGATATTTTGCATTCATTGAAAACATCATCTCCTGATCTGTTTGTTCCTAAAAAAGAAAATTCATACGATACAAATGAACTACAACTTGACGGTTTAGATCCTCTTGGTACGCCTCCACCACCCGCGCCACAAGCTAGACAAAGTGTTAATCTAGAAATAGGTGGTGAAGTTGAAGCTGCTATTAAAGATATTAGGATGGCTTTACAAAGGACGAAAACTTTACCTGTGAAGTCTTCTACAGAAGAACCCCCTGAACCTAATGTTAGTCCCATTTGGATACCAAGGTATTTCACTTTCTTTTTTTTATTTACATTTATAACACTTTGACACTTTTTGGAGTCTTATTTATTCGTAATATAATACAGACGATTAGATTTTTTACTAGACCAAATGTTATTCCTATATATGAAATTTTCATTTATAATTATTTCTAAATAAACGATATGAATTATTAAAATTATTAATGTAAGGAATGTGCAGTTTAATCTCTGATATTTTTTAAATTATTGAAATGCTATAAAAAATATTAAAATTCTAATAAACACATATTATGATATTTGAAACGTAGTTATTTTTGTTTAAGTACATCTAACTAAAATGTAGTATATTGGATGGCAGGCGGAGAATTTGTGTAGAAAACAATAGCGAGGAATCGGAAGTTCGACGTACAGGCGAAGAAGCAGATGTTGAAGTCGAGGAAGGTCCAGACGAGGAGGAGGCAGATACTGATCTCGAAACTGATCGTTTACTTGGACAACAAAGAACAGATGATCAGGGTTTTTACGACGATAAGGTAAGATTTAAACCAGTGATATATTTAATATCATATACATATATACATATACAATCATTTCATAACATTTCATTCAAAATAACTCAATTTAACTTAATTTTTGGCATGATATTACTGACCAATAAAATGACACAAATAATAAATGTAACTCTAAATATAAACTAATTACCACATATGTATCAATTTTGGGCATACAAATAATTAATAAAATATTTGAAAATAATTTACTTGAATTTCATACAAAATAGAGTTATTTTTTCTGTGTCACTTCTAAGATAAATATATATAATTTAAAATATACCCAAGACTGATACATATAAACTAAGATTTTGTTTGATTAAAGTCTAAATGATTTATTTTTTATAATAAATTGAATTTGCATACACTATTACTTACTTTAAATAATTGCGAACTTCGTTTCCAATCCAATTATGTAGTTATTTTTAAAATCTTATAATATTCTAAAATTTCTTGGGTAATGAACAATTTGAGCAGGGGTATTTTATCGGTAAGCAAACTAACATGAGATAAATGTAATTGGTGTTACATAGGGGTGGAGGAAGCCTAAGACTAGGACAATGTTACCACCGATGAGTGGAAAACTGTCAACTCCTAAACAAACTCCCCCAAAAAGCCTGAGTGTTGCTCCGGTAGAAAGCCCGTTAGCACCCTCGGAACCTTTAGCTTCGACCTCTGCCTGTGTGTCCACTTCCGCTTCTGCCTCTATTTCGCCTCCTCCAGTAGTCTCCGTTATACAACCACCACCTTGCGATCGTGACGTTACCACTCCCACGCAACCCTCGTCAAGTCCACAGAAGACTCCAGTTAAAAATTCTCCCTCGTCCCCTCAGAGTCTCAAGGAATCTGGCAGCAAGGTGAAAAAGGTGCCCTTTCAATTACATTAAATCAACCTGTCTAATTTTGCTTCCTTTCTTCTACTACTGTAGTTACTGCTAAAGGCACTGCTACTGCTCCCCTTAATTACTAAAGAATAAAACCAGAAGTGGAAACGTGTTTTTTTAATGGGCCACATTTGAAATTCAAAGAGTATTTAATCCAGACTAGGTATTCAGACAACATAGTAGTAGTGTGTGAATCATATATATGTAGATTCATACTGTTCAAGAAATATTTCTTACTCGTTGAATTCTGCAATTTAAAGTATGGTTCATTAAAATAGCACACTTCCAATTTAACCCAGTCTCCATTAGTACACTTCCTGTATCCCAGGCATGACTAAGGAAATTTAAGAATTTAAGAATTTGAAGATAACAAGATTCGGAAATTTGCGAAATTAGGAAATTTAAGAGATGTGAAACTGAGAATTTCGGAATTTAGAAATTTTTCATTGTTACGGATTGAGGAATATTTAATGTAAATATAAATTATGAGTTACAACTTAGTCATGTTTGATGTGTGCAACTAGTTAATGAATTCTTTTAAGATGCTATTAGTTTAATCTGGGCAACAGCTTATTGTTACAACAGCCAGTTTCTGAATAAATAAATTTGTTCAGTCAGTAAATTTGAATGTATGCCTAATGAATTGATCAATAGATATCATTTCTTGATTTGGCAAAGAATAATTTTTCATAAAGTATTGTATGCAATGTATCATCTATTATGTTTTATTGAAGCCAGTTTATAAATATAATTTTTTAATTTTTATATTAATATTTCTTTCTAAGTGTTGAGCAAATAGGTTATAACTATTTTAAAATTATCTACTTTTTTAAAAAGAGTGTATTACTTTGTTTAATATATTATGTTTAAAAATAAAAAACTTAAACTTTTATAATAATTTATTACAATGGCATCATACTAGAACTGTAGATCAGTCCTGATTAGTAGAATCGCTTTACTTGTTTGCTTCCAGTATACAAAACACAGTTTTGCATGTTTTCCACCTCTTCTTCCTTTCCATATATTAGACGGGATAAAATTGCCTAATTTAATAATGGTTGTTGATTATACTAATACAAAATATTGATAAATGGTTATTATAAAATAACAAACTTTAATATTTCATTACAAACATATGCATGTGTATTCATTCTTTTTTTAGTATCAATTACAGCATGATATAACGTATAAACAATGAAAAAAAAAATAATTTGTTATTCATTATTCAGTGACTGGTTAAAATAAATTAAATATTTTCAAAAAGCTTCAATACATCAATACAATAAAAGAATTGCTATACAACAATTTTCGTTCAAATATATTATTTGCTGAGGCTGTTAGATATATGAATTATTTACTGCATGAATGGAGCTTATATTGATCATATGGAATATGATTTGTAGAAAGCACGTAGTCGTGACATCGTGACATACCGATATTTACCTTATTACATGAAGTACATTGAGGGTTTTATATTTTCCAGGAAAAAGAAGAAAAGAAGAAGAGTAGAAACAAAGAAGGTAATAAAATATATTTTTCTATTCTTTGCGAGTAATAATACAACATGTATTATTTCTTTATTTATTAGTAATTTTTACAAAAATATATTTATAACACATAAATAATTTATAGCAGTTCACAGTGATTATTACCAATTTTTATTTGATACATACTATTTGTAATTAAAAATGGCAATAATTTTGATTTTATTTTAAGCAAAATTCATAATGCAAATATATTTTAAACACTGAAGTAAACACTGTATTTTCAAAAATATTACATATTTAGTAAATGTATAATAATAAATACTCAATTTTCTTTTTTTTGCTGCGTTTCAAATGGATGTAATTGGGTAGGTATCGATACAAAAAATATATCTTCTTTGAATCTTATCTTTAAATGTAGCATTGTATCTTTATAAAACATGTATTTATATCTTTAACAAATATTTGAATTTATTCGTAAATAAAGATTCATGATTCTAATCTAAAATTCAGTTTTGGAAGCATCCTGATAAGATAGATTCAATATTTGTACTGATATGTATTGTATTATAGTTACGAGTAACGTTCATTGTATATCTGCAATGTCAGATATCATGTTAGAAGAAACTTTAAATGTCAATAAAATCTTGACGGAAATTGCACCTGCTTCAGTTAAACTTTTCCAGTTCTCTATTGACTATTTATCAGTGTATGGTAACCTTAAGAAGGAGCAATCTAAATGGTATGTTTCTGGACATATTTCAGCTCTTCTCGACGATCCTTCAGTTTTAATTGAGGGAGTCTTGTTCCGAGCCAGATACCTTGGATCTACTCAACTTGTGTGTGAAGGAGAGCCCACAAAGTCTACTCGCATGTGCCAGGCAGAGGAAGCTGTGTCCAGGATAAAGGTACGTTATCATTGTTTTATGTCTGTATTTTACATATTCTTCTTATCATCTACAATCTATTCTTTATTTTTCTTCTTTATAATTATGCTTTTATTCCTTTAATATTGTGAGATTCAGTGATCAAAATTCCATGTTAAATTAATCAGACAAATATTATATAACATAAGAAGAAATTAATTTTATATGAAATGATAACTTTGATTGTTCTGAATTATACAAATTTAAGCTACTAAAATAGTTTCATACAACTTCTTTTAAAGTAATGCATATTAAAAACGTAAAAAGTTTTAAAACTTTGTTGAGTAATTTTATGTGGAATTTATGAAGACATCATTTAAATAAAATTCATTGCATATTTCACTCCATATTATCTTATGCTTATAATTGTTGGAACATCTGTAACATCAAATTGAACATTCTGTGCTGTATATGCACAGTAGAAATTATGTATACCTTTATTTCAATCATTGTAGATTATTCATTTCTAGAGATTTGTATCTTTGCACAATTTATTCAGCAAATGCATGATGGATCTTTGGTTTTTTTAGAACTTTGTAGGCAAAAACCTTAGATTATTGTTGTAACCACTTTTTTTTTAATTTAATGATCTGTTAACACATACATGTTTGTATATAATAGATGTTTAACTATGTAATTATTGTGTCGTGGAAACACTACTTAAGAAAAGTAGAAATTTTCACTGATGGGACTTACTGTATAGTTCTGTTTGATTAATCAGGAATTACTTATTCTAAAATAAAATGATTTTTATTTTTATACAATCATTAATTATTTATCCTTGCAAGTGCTCGTTGTATATGCATCAGCTTTATTAAAAACATCTGTCTACTGTTAGGCATATTATGTTGTGGAAGAGATGAGTAGACAATGATCATTTACTTGCTACAATAAAAAATCATTTTGTTTATTAACTTATAATCATCTTATTTATCGAATGGACACTTTGCTATATGTATTGCACCCCAAGTTCAGTACAATCATATCTTCATTATTATAAATGAAATTTTAATAATGAATGCTGTTTAACATTTTATTTATTTTACAAAATGTGTTGTTTATACTTTCATATCTATTATTCTTTGAGTTATCATATACATTTTATATGAATTATCAGATATTATGTTTTATTTAAATGTATCAACGAATAACTGTAAGTACACTGAAGGGCCATTTATACATATTATGTGCAGGGGTTTCCCCTCACATAAGTTATGGTCTTGGTATATTATTAATAATTGCCTAGCTATGAAATAAGAAAAATTATTTTATGTATATTAATATACTTCAGTATATAAAAATGAAAATTGACTGTTTCAACAATATGGTTCTTATGAATGATTAATAATACATATAGCAAGGCCATAACTTGTACAAGGGCATCCCCAGACATGGTTGTGCATAAATGAACCTTAAATGAAAGTGTAATATATCTTTGATGGCTCTATAATAAGTATAATGCACTAAATATCAATATATTACGCTCATGCATGTATAAACTATGATTTTTTTAAATTTATAATATAAAATACTGTAATAATTATTGAATTTTAACTGAACATTTATCTAATGTACAATAAAAATATGTTCCATTGAGAGAAAGTTCTCGTTGAGACATTTCGATTAAACCTGAGAGTTTTTTCTACAAAGTAGGAATATTATAAAACTGAAATTAAAATCACATTTGGAGTTCGTTTTTTTATTAATCCAGATTCACCCCCTCTTTTGTGCCTCTAATGAGATTCCATATATCCATTTACTTTTCAATAATTTTATAAAGGAGGAAATAATTAAAATTTCGTTGAACAAAAGCATTATTTTATTAAAAGATTTGTAGTATACTATTTTATAAAATTTGTTTAAATCATGGACATAGGAATAAAAGGAGTAGGACATTGGAATAAAATGCATGTATTTAAATATTAAAAGGGAGATTCAAATTTAATACATATAACATTGAAGTTAACAACATTATAATAGCTCTAGAAGTTTAAATATTTAATAAATAATAGAAATTGAAGTTAAATTAATTTATTATATGATTCTGTTATATTACACAGTTGGTTTTGAAAGTGCTAAGGACACAACTCACCATGGCAATATCCTCAATTCATTTCTCCCTATTGACCTCCTATGCCCATGGTTGAAATATATATTTTATTAAATATTTTTTGTTATAATTATTTTTTCATAAATAAATAATATCAAAGGGTATATATTTTTTTAAAATATTTAAATTTAATAAGACCAGCTATGTAAAAAAAAATCTGAATGTTTTATTATAGCCACCCCTTCCTCGTGTTATTACCACCACCACCACCTGACCAGCGGACACATTTTCTTATGTGATTTTGATGTTTCTCTGTGTTAATTTGTCTAAGAACAGGAGCTGGATAAAATAATAAATAACAAACTGGGTGTCCTTCTAATTACTCCTGTATTTAATTATACAAAAAACACTTTAATGTTCACTGTTCAATGAGATCACATGTGGTCTCTGTCGCGATATAGCGAGCTCGTAAAATTCCACTGAAATCAAAACACAGGAAATTTGATCTCTGAAACAACATTTTAGGGATGGTAAGGACCAGAAACTTCGTCCAAGACCATACGAAAAAGGCTTCATGCAGTGTCAGTGTATTGAAGTAAAACTCTGAAATAAAGCTTTAACTTCTCTCAAAACCGTTTAATAAGGGTTTAATTTACGATCTCGCTATATCGTAGCGGGGACTATACATCAAAGAAATGGAAGAACAATACTATACAGAGTGTACCGTTTTCATAATGAAATGCATCTATTTACATGCACGTTATTAAAGGCTAACCTATTAAATTATTTATAATTTTAATGATCGAACGTTATGTTTAACAATTTTATTTTGTTTTCAACGGGATAATAAGATTTCTCTTAATAGAACAACTAAAGGTATTTCTAACGGAGAGTAAATAGTATTATTTCCTGGAAGGAACTATTTTTTATTCGGCTCCTTCGCAACTATTTTCTTGTGTATAGTTGTCTATCCTTCTTTGCTTCGTAGATTGTACGCAGCACTATATCTCTTTTTCTGCACGATCGTGTATTATAAAAAATTGCGTGTAATATAAGTCACATTGAACGGACGAAAAGTATTTCACTTATGTTAATAGACCTGTATGTTTCATTGTACATGAATTAGGGTGAAATTTTTTTATTTCAATCGGGATTTCTATTTTTACTTCTTTTAACATGCTACAAAATATCCATCATTATACGACATGCAATGCATTATAATAAAAACAAAAAAAATGATAAAATTACAATGAGGGATTTATACCATCAAATTCATTCATAATATTAAATTGTTTTTGTTGTAGACGATAATAAAAAAAGTTATAATTTCTAAATCAATTCATGTAGCAACAGTTTTAGGCACCATATTTCCATTTTATAATATTTGTTTACTTATTTATTACTTAAAAATAATAACTGCAAGAAGTTATTTAACATCATGTTTATGAATTCAAACATTCGTAGAAGCGTCAAACAAATCTGTGTGACAGCGGCTTAAAACGGTCTAAGACGACATATTATATCTTCAATTGATTTATATTGTTCATTAATATTGAATTATTTTTGAATTATCATTAAATTATTAATATACTGCTAATAAATTGAAACATTCAAAAGTATCAAATTCATATGGCAACGGCTTAAGGCAACTATGTTATGTACTTAAACTATGCTGATATTTATTTAAACAAAAATAATAGTACTCCAATTTATTTCTATAAACTTCCTTCATATTTAGGTTAGCAACTGAAAATACTAAAATGCCGTATAATGAATGGATCTGTAGTTTGCACAACATTAAAATTTTTCAACATATATCATACGAGACTCAAATTCGGAACGGTTGATTCAAGAGTGTAGCCGGTTACAATTTTTCGAAATATCTTAAACGATCAACACTGCAACGTTCAATGTTCAATGTACCCTAAAAGTTTCTTGATCCGTAAAATTGCATACTGTCCTAACTTACGTAAGCGTAGGATAATCTGTGTATGAAACGATACTTCTCGAAGAGCATGATACAGTACAAGTATTCGAAGATCGAAGGGTTAGCATTTAATAAACGTCATGCTGTCTATAGCACGCTCAAAAATGTAAGAGCAGCACGAACATGATAACGATCGTGTGTCAGTGTACTCATTTTGTAGAAAAAAAGATAAAATGAAATTCTACTTCACGATAGACTCGTGTTCATACTTCACAATAATACAGTATTTGGTATCAAATGTATCAGGGCGTTAAGAAAGCGATACTCGTAGCTCATAAAGAGAATTCCCCATACCATATTAGATGGACACTTAGAAAAGCTACCACAAATTTGGTCCCAAATGTTGCATATTATTTTTATTAGGGGACTGACAAATTTTAAACAAATTAGTGTTTACTTATAACTTTATCTGAAATGCCCTGGACGTTTGAGGTGCCTCTGAAGATTAGAAACTATTGTAATAAAAGTGGTAACATAATAAAAGTATCCTTCCCATTTTCTCTTCCTATTTTGTAACATTTTCTGATGAATTCACTTTCTGTTTGAGTTAGCGGCGATAACGGTGCATTTTGTACATTAAACCTGCTGTGGAGTCACAAAGGAGCCCCATCTACAAGAAACACTATTGCTAGAGAGTACAAGAATGAAGCAAACAATTAAAACTAAAATTTAGCATTACCTGACCGAAACGTGTTTGGTCACTTTGATGCTTGTATAATAATTATATAACATTAGAAATTAATAAATATATTTAGACATAGTGTCAGTACATAGCACGTCATGTACCAAAATTATGTATGAACTATAATATGAAACATTCACTAAACTGCGTTAATAATGTCGGATGAGCTTCACAAATGTCTATTCTGCATATGATGTGGAAAATAACGTTATAAGCCATGAGCATTATTTTCTTAACGCCCTGCACAGTGTTGAGTTAGTCTTTCACAGGAGAAAAAGCAGTGTCGGGGAAGGAGATTTCACTATTTTGTTCACATGCAACTTAGGCTTCTCTCTTAGTTTCGTAAGAGGAATTATCTTAACATCTGATGAGGGTGGGATCTGCTTCTTCTACAAAGCCTTTCCTCTAAAGAAGGCTAGCTTGAGTATACATTAAAAGTTTGAAAAATAAGAAAATCGTAGAAAAATCGCAAAAAGTTCTTTACCGCGTTTGCTGGTGGTGCGTGGTAATGTGACTAGCAAGAGCATTTGTTTGTTTACGTTACGGAAGGAGGGGCCAGTGGCTACGGGTATGCAGGCCACGCTGTTAAACTATGGGGGGCAACATGGTTTTGGTCGGTGCAGCGTTGCCTCACAAGGAAGCCTCGAGGAAGATGAGTGCGACTCGAGCGAAGAACTTATAGGGAACACCCTTGGTGGGGGCCAGTCCGAGTCGCAGACTGTGGGTCTCCAACCAAAACTGGCCCCGATCAGTGGCTCTATGGAGCCCACCACCGTTTTCAGGCTTCACTTTCTCGGATCGGTTGAAGTTGAAGAGGAAGGGAGACGTAAGCGCCTTAACAACCACATAGTGCGGGAGGCTGTGACTAAGATCAAGGTCCGCCCTCCAACCCTTAGATGTATCATATTCTATTTCTAATTGTTGTTTTCGATTTTTCTTATCTATCTAAAAGAAATCTTTTTTCTTTATTTTGTCGTTGTTTTCTGTATCTGTATTACCCTTCCACTTTTTTTCACTGACAACGAGTAACTGATACTGCTTATGAATCCACACTAATTGTTTCAACAAAGATATTACCTTAAACAATTAATACGCTTTGAAAACGTATAGATAATTGGTTTTGCATCGTTACTCTTAGGTTTATCTTCAGAATAGGGCGTTTAAACGTCCAGGGCATCTTATGAACGACGTCTAGGTTTGACTGTCCTCGACTCTCCCTAGTTTTCCTAGGGTTCTCTTATGTTTTCTTGGGTTTTACCCACATCGCTAATAATTTGCCATTCCTAGTACCCACTAAGATGTCCCTGGATCCTTTTTCATACCTTCTGAATCTCCCTAGTCCTTCTTGGCTCTCCCCGGCTCTCCCTGGTGGCTCTCGAGTTTTCCAGGGGTTTTCTTGGATTTTGGTGGTTTTACTAATAGTTTGCCACTACCAACTCTCACTCAGATTTTTCTGGATCCTTCTTTTTACTTCCTGGATTTGTCTAGTCCTCACTGGCTCTCCCTAACTCTCTCCAATTTTCCTTGGATTCTACTGGCTCTATTAATAGTTTACCACTCCCAGCTGTCATTAGGATCTCATTAGGTTCTTCTTGGCACTTCCTGTGTCCCTCTAATCTTCCATGGCCCTTACTGGCTCTCCTCGGCTCTCCTCAAATTTTCTTTCATTCTACCCGTTTTTCCGGTATTTTGTCACTCTTTAGGATCATTCTAGGTCAACTCTAAGCTATCTTAACTGCAAGCGCCCGAGAATCCGTAGGTATAATTGCAAACACCTTCAGTTTCTTGAAAGCAATATTTCAACCATGAATTAGCATTAAATCTGTACTCGTTATCAGTGAAAATGAGTGCGACTAGGTACAATTATTAAGATAAAACATATTTTTAGTAAATAATACTTTCCCTAATAATACATGGCACAATTTGATTAGGTTTCTCTAGATAAACTCTCAGGTTTACGAAAAATTTTTATCATTTCACGTTACTAATATTTTAAGTTCTTATTTTTTAACGCAGACAAAAGAAATTTATCTTATTTGCTACATTCACTGATAATTGCATTTTCAATGTTGCACATTCTTTCTTGCAGTAAACTTAGACTTACTCTATATGTATTCAATTTAAATTTACAGTATATTTTTCATTGTTCTGTAATGTACTTTGTTGCTCTTACTGTTCAATTAATTAATTACCGCTTTGTTATTTTACTACATGCTGCTTCTTCATGATAGGCGTTGGTACGTATACTTCAATTAGCAATATTTTAATTGCATAATGTTTAATAATATTCTTGAGCCGTTTACTACTATGACGACTATGACGCACATAAGAAGAAAATGTGATTACATGAAAAAATTGATATTTATCAAGAAAAATCTACAGGAAACAAAATATCAAAGCTTAAAGATAACTGTCAAAGAAGTTATTAAATATAAATAATAGTGATAAGCAGTTACATATTCTAGGATAATGTAATATTGTTATAAATGATTTAAAATTAATAAACAATAATATGTGCGTATAGGCACCGGATGGCGAAACGCAACCGAGTACGGAAGTTGATCTGTTCATTTCGACGGAAAAGATCATGGTCCTAAATACTGATCTGAAAGAGATCATGATGGATCACGCGTTAAGAACAATATCTTACATAGCAGATATTGGTGATGTAGTGGTGCTAATGGCACGAAGACGATTTGTACCCCACGAAATGGAAGAGGCACCCAAAATTAACAGAACACCTAAAATGATTTGTCACGTTTTCGAAAGTGAAGAAGCTCGATTCATTGCACAAAGTATCGGACAAGCGTTTCAAGTAGCTTATATGGAGTTCCTCAAAGCAAATGGCATAGAAGATCATAGTTTTGTGAAAGAGATGGATTACCAGGAAGTGCTCAATTCTCAAGAGATATTTGGAGACGAGCTACAAATGTTTGCTAAAAAAGAAATGCAAAAAGAGGTGATTCATCTTTTGTTGTAACACAGTAAACTTATTTAATCAACTGCGAAAGCAAATACACGAATGAATAAATTTAATTATTAGTATAGTTTTCATCGCTTTGGATAAAGACTGTCTTACATATTGCTTATTCTCTTTTTTGTATCATTAAGTTATAGACTTTATACTAAATTCTTTTGTAAATGAAAGAAACTAACAGTTAGTTGTTAAATGTTTACAGGTAGTGGTACCAAAAGCGAAAGGTGAAATTCTGGGTGTAGTTATCGTTGAATCTGGATGGGGCTCCATGTTACCAACAGTTGTAATCGCAAACCTAGCACCAGCTGGTGCAGCTGCTCGTTGTGGACAATTAAACATTGGTGATCAAATAATAGCCATCAATGGTGTCTCGTTAGTTGGTTTGCCTCTCTCCACTTGTCAAACTTACATCAAGAATTCGAAAAATCAAACAGTTGTCAAGTTAACTGTCGTTCCGTGTGCGCCAGTAGTCGAGGTCAAAATTAAGAGACCCGACACTAAGTATCAGTTAGGATTTAGTGTACAGAACGGGGTAATATGTAGTCTATTGAGAGGAGGAATCGCCGAAAGAGGAGGTGTTCGAGTGGGTCACAGGATCATCGAGATCAACAATCAAAGTGTCGTCGCCGTGCCGCATGAGAAGATCGTCAATCTTCTTGCCACATCCGTCGGCGAAGTAAGTGCAATTTTATAATTTCAATTTCGAAAACTCTTCTTCTTTGCTAAAGAATTGTTTAAAATTTCAAAATATTTTATAATCATCAATAGCTTCTTGTCCTACCCTTTAAATAGAAAGATTGAATTTTGTCTTTGCCATACATAAAAGATGTTAAATTACAAATAAATCTAAAATCTATTTAAAGTAATATGTTGAAATTTCCCTTGTGATAAATCTTAACCCCTTTGGCTAACGAAAAAGTTTTAAAGTACATAAATTTTTGATCTTTTATATTTTGTTTTGTTTCAGATATTAATGAAGACAATGCCCACATCAATGTTTAGGCTATTAACTGGCCAGGAGTCTCCAGTGTACATATAAGCGTTTGGTTGCCTGGCTGATATGCGTAGTGAACAGACAATACATCCGCCATCCACTACCATATAATTTACTACTTTACTCTCTGTACAGATTTATTCTACGCAGATTGCTTTGTGTTTCAATTCTTATGGAATTCTATTCGTATACTCTCACCAGCTCCTGCTTATCAAAGCAACAAAACTTACGTAAACATGTTGCGACAAATATTAATATATTAAATATTTACATAAAGCAAAAGATATATATATATACATATATATATATATATACACATAATATATACATAAACGTTTTATTTATGAGTGGGATTCTCTATGACTGTTTTCCCATAATTAACGAAGTGATGGGTATTGTCATCTTTGCTGTAATTTTGACTAATAATTATAACGAAAAAATTTTGGATCAATTTTTTTTCTATTTTTTACTTTCTATTTATTTATTTATATTTTCTTATAATGTGATGAAAAATTTTTTTAACGTTATAGCAAAATAACGTTATTTGAAGTGTTGTATTAATAGGTTATTGTTTACTCAAAAGTTATTAAACCATAAACAGAGACTTGTTATTGATTATGTACAACTTGGTATGTTATAACTTTTGAAGTAATAGTAATAATACAACACCTTTTGTGCCATTGACATTGTGCATTTATGTTAAAAAAAATTTCTTTTTTATTTCTGATAATATGATATTTACTGCAGAAATAAAGTGATAAGTAATAAATAATCTAATAACGTTGTTTCTTTTTTTAAATAAATAAACATAGTTGTTGGAGTTTATACTTCGTGAAATCAGCATTGAGAATCACATTCCATACGTGATAAGAAAAGCAAAGTATTCAGTGCACACGATAATATTAGGTTGATCGGAATATAGTGTTGGATTCTTCAAGAAAATGTCGGTTTACTGTTATTATATGTCGTTTATTCATGAAACTATTCATTGTCCATTGTTTGTACTTTCCTTTAATCAGAAAAAAAATTCTTAGGGTTTTTCCTAAATCAATTTCTTAATACTTTACATACTTCTCTTTCTCTTGTGAAGGTCTTGAAATGATAGAAATATAATCTGAATACAATTCATTCAATTTCTGTCATGTTCCTTGATGTATGAGAATGAATTTATCACGCCAGAAAACAGTACCTTCCTCATTCTGATATGCTGGAAGCATGCCATTTTTCATTCACATATACTTTGTTCGATAAATTAATAATTTGGAAATAATATTGTTATCCAAATTTTTCTCAACAATTTCATTACAAATCTCACTTTGTGTATGTGTGTAATGGTTGATCTACGTCTAGTTTTGAAAGTTCATATGTTGTTACAAAAGGGTCCATTTATAATTCCATGTGCAAAACATTCTCATTAACAACGCTACCTGTTTCATTCTCCAGGTTAAAACTTCTTGAAGTACCTCTGAGCTGTTACTTTTAGATGCAGCTTCAGATCTGAAAATTTCGCACAAATTTTTAGTCTTAACAGTCTTGTTATTAACTGTTTGAAATTTATAAAGTACACAGTGACATAAGTGCTCTCTGTTTACTTTGGCTGAGGATTGAAGGACATTTTTATTTATTGTCCATAAAAAGTTTCTTACATGGGAAAATAATGATGAAGGTCAATTTATATTTTTCATCAGGAAACCCGATAGTATTTTCCGATCAACCTAATACATAGCACAAAAGCTCTTTACCAACGTTTAGAGCAGGGCTGGAACTCTCTATACATTACGTAGCTCACAGAGTATGTTTTTACAAGGGCCTTCATACATTTTGTTGGCTTCGTAGAATATAACATTGTTCATTTGATTTTTTTTATCCACAAATCGCAATTTCTTTGTTCTTTAATTTGCACTAAAATTAAGAGCTACTATCTATTGCATAATATTTTAAATGTGCCGTCTCGTGATAAATATCACGGTAGTTATACGGAAGAGTACTCCGTAGTATTTATTCTATTAATAATTTTGTTTTCTACTGTAATTCCTTTTTTTTACAATTACAATGGAGTCTTGCTATATAGCCCTAGACGGGACTGTAGGAGCAGAAAAAATTATAGAATGGGTCATGTAAGCGAAACTCCTTCCATGCACTGCTTGACTGTCAGTGCCCTGCCATTAATGAAATAGCTCACGAATTCTAAATTTCACAATTTGAGAAATTTAGAAACGTGAAAATATAAAAATTTCTAAATTTGAAAATTTTTAAATTTGAAACATTCTTAGTTTGTACATTCAAAGATTACCTAAATTTGGAAATCTATAAATTTCTCACTTTTCAGCCATGTAGCGAGACTGTACTGTATCCTTACCTACAGAGGCATGCTTTTTGCTATTATTAGCAATCATTCTGAGCAGATAAAGTTACTTAATAACTCGCATCATTTATAGTCAACAAAATGCACAATTAAGACTTTAATATTCCATTAAAGTTTCTAACAAAATTATTGTCAAAATTGCTATTTTAACAAATATCAGTATTGAACAATTGTATCTATAAAAGGGTGCCTATTTCCTTAATAAGAATCTAGAATTTTGCTTACATCGTAATAATTAATTTACGATACAAAATTAAATATCTGAAAATACAAAATTATTATCTTTCATTGATTCTCATAAAATAGAATATGTTGACAATTACTTGGAACGTTTGTTTAAAGATTCATCTTAGATATTTCATTTCATCAATTGATATTAACAAATACACACTGTGAATAACTATTGAAACAAGTCTATAATCTGTGAAGCAACATCTATGTGTAACATACTGCGTATAAATGAACGCACTTATTTTTATTACTGGTGGACGATAATGTCTTAGAATCGTCAAGCTGTAAGCGAATTTTGTGGTGCAATATTGCTAAATCATTTTTTTATTATTACTATAACCAAGCGAGAGCAATCTCATTAAACAATTATACCAACATTTACAATTGTCACCATTAAATATGCTCTTCATTAACTATTTAGAAAAGTACTCTCTATCTATGAAATATAAATCAAATTATAAAAAAAAAAAATGAAATATTAATCTCAACTTTATGTAACATTGTGACTGAGAAATTATTAAAAATTTACAAATGGTAACAAAATAATATTAAACGTGGAGAGGAGTTCTCTTCTATGTAAATACCGCGCATTATATTAATTCTAAGTTTCATCTATTTTTTGCTGAAAATTTTTCACTTTTCGCTTCAACTATTGAAAAATATGCAAATCTTAATATTTGTAATGAAAGTTTGATAAAATTTCAATGCCAAAGTACATTAAGTGACAACTTGAGTATGACAATATTCAGAATCATTTGATTTTCATAACTGTACATCATAACACGTATAATAATTTTTCATGTATTTCGAATTTCAGTTTCTTTAATGTAAACTTTCATAAAACATCAAAGTTTGATTGTGTGTTTTGAGATAATAAGGCAATTCAGTATTTATTAAAGTGAACAGTGAAATCTAAAAAAGACTTGTACTGTATGCTTTTATTCTTTAAGTTCTGTACTTCTCTCTCCTTTATGTTTATATTGTTTCTATTAATTCTTTTATTTTTAATACTATCAAGTCATATTATTATTTGTTATGTTACTTTATATTACAGAGATGTTGAACAAATAAAAGATAAATTATCTATAGGTACTTCAAGGTTCATGCAATTTTAATTTCATTAAAAAATATCAATTTTACTATCTATTAGTAGCAGTGTCTTCATTTGGTATGTCCTTATTACAAAAGATATATAATGCGCAGTATTTTATATATTTCAGTAAATGAATTATACAATTATTAATAGTTACTATTTTATTGTAATCACATTAAACAATTTTTTCTAATTTTATAATAACTTTGAAGTACCTACATTATAGAATAATTTTAGTTATTTATTGTATCTTGCTTGTCGTAAGAGTGTGATTTATGACATAAACGTGTTTGAAAATGTAAAAAAGCAAGAGAAAAAAAATGAGAGAGAAAAAAAGAATGAGTGTGAGAGAAAATGATAAAATAAAACAGTAGTTTCATCGCTTAAAGCATTATATGGTATTAATAAATTTTACAAACCTTGCATATATTGGTTTGTTATAATATCAGGTGATACGTACAAAAATGTACTTTATACTGATTTTACTTTATCTAAATTTATTAGTACCATTTATGATGCCCTGGAATTGAATCTTTTTATGTTGCATCTTGTCAAATGATTAAATATTTATCTATATGCATGCTTGTGTAACGCATTCGAGTGGAGAATTCTTTCATTTTAAATTTGGAAAATCAAATTTTAAACAATCGATACTTCTTTTGTCTTATGGGGGACTATGTTTAAATACATTATGTAAGGAACATTTATAAGATTATTTATAAAAACTTGCTGCAACCAAAGAAATTATGTTTTTCATAATATAAAGATTTAATGAACAAAATGCAAATGTTTATATAAACACAACGTAAAAGTTTTGTGTCAGTCTGTTAAAAAGTTATTTAAACAAAACTATATACATATAACTATAAAAGAAATATAAATCTATTAAAAAGATATGCTGGTATAAAATATTGATTTCTTCCACTTTTTGCAATATCTTATAATTGGATTGAATGAAAAATTAAAGAGCTATTATGGTCATATTTTTTAAGGTAAATACTTCATAAAATTAAAACTTTATAGTTATAAGCCAGTATATAACAGTGTATACATTACAATAAACCTAAATAATTTAACCATTTCTTATATTTACAAAATAAATATATTTATTAAAATGTAATTATAAACTTGCTGTGAACATTAATGATAATAGTAATGTAATAATAATAATAATAATAATAGTAATCATTATAATAATAATAATAATAATAATCTCATATTGTTTAATAATTCGCTTGAACACTTTATTGTACTTTTAATCAGATTTAATCAGATTATATTTCGTTAGTATAATATAATTGATTTATAATATTTTACTTATATTTTGCGATAAAAATCGATCAAAATTTTAATTCAAATCTGTACATGATTTACTCAGAACTTATGAACTTATTGTGCTATTATAATAAAAAGACGATGTAATATTTCATTTTGAATATTGAGTTGCAATAATTTTACAGCAACATAGAAATTTTTGTACATTATAAAGAAAAGTTAAGAAAAGAAGAAATTGAAGGGTGTTATTGGAAATACATAAGAAGATCCACTCGGACGTTTCACAAGCGTCCTTTTGTATTGATTGCAGATATTTATTTTTTCAAAAAAATTTTGATTTGGTAAACTCAACCTGGAAAAGTTGTTGTTACATAACAGCAATGTTAAAAGTCGGAACGTAATCTTGATTTCATTAAAATTTGTTCTTATCTTGAGTTATAACTCTTATCGAGAATAATATAATTTTTCTAGCGACAAAGATATCTTTCTCTGATTTGTATTATTTTATCAATATACTTGAATTGGTTTAGACATAACATTGATATTGTAAACGTATTTTCCTTCTATTTTTTAAACATATTTTTTTGAAATTTCATGTACAGTGGATGTAGAAAGTATTCAAACATTTCATAAAATTGCTATTTATTAACTAGTTTTTGTATGTACAAATTTATATATATTTGAAAAATTTGTAAAATAAGTATTCAGGTAAATTAAAATTCATCATATAAAGTTTCACTAATCGTATAAAGCATATTAATACTCTATGAAATATTTCTTCATACAGACTTGATCAAAGTTTCAAGTTCTTGTCAAAGAGTTTTACAATCTTGGCTGATATTATACTAATCCACATAATTTATGAGATTTTCAACATCATAAATGTAAAAACTGACAAAAAAGGTACAGTCTTTAAAAAATGAATGTACTTTCATCTATTTTCAATGACTTTCATAAAAAACAAAATTTATCTAAACATTTAATTAAATTTAATACAAAATGAAATATTATTGAAATTAATTAATCGATTGCAATTTTAAGAAATTTTATAAATTGATTGGTGTATAAATAATTTCTATAACCACTGTATGTTTCATCTGCGATTAATCTTTGCATATGTTTTCATAGAAATATAAAAAAAGCCTTAAACAAATTCATGTTTGATCGTATACAGCATAGACATATCGCATATCACATTAAATGTATACACTCTCATATATCATTAAAAAAGTACATGTTCTTTCACATTAGAAAACCAAGTTGAATCCTTTCGGATGCTAACAATTGTTTAATATAATTTCATAAGCTAAAAGTATTGCAGAAAGACACTTATGCAATTTGAACCTTAAGGTCTTATGAAAATGATAATATAAATTTTTTGTGCGCACTGTTAATTCAAATAATCTGTCTTCATTGAATCCAGTAATTTAATTGTGAGCACTCATATTGCACATGTACAAATTTGTAAATTTAACAATTTAAAAACTTGTAGATTTCTAAAAACTTGTCAACTGTTCAATTTAAAAATGAAAAAATTTAAGAAATTTTAAAATTTCTCTGAAAGCTTGTAAATTTCAAAATTCAGAAACATCAAAAATCTCAATTCATAAGTTTAAAAATTTTTGATTTTTTAATTTGAACATTTAAGAATTTAAAAATTTCTAAATTTGAAAACTGGAAAATTTCTGAATTTGAGAAATTTTACTGATAAGCTATAAATGTCATTTCACGGTACTTTTATGTCACAAAATTAGCTTAAACTTTTTACATCTCAAAATCTGTCAAGTTAAAAATTTACTACTAACGGTATCCAAAACTTTTGTCTTTTTGCCAATTGTGGATGATTAAAAATATTAAATACGTAGTATTATCGTACTTCGTAAAAATTCTTTCTATCTTAACGATAGACTAAAAGCATATTTCAATGATTGAAACGTAATTCGTGTACGCATCCGAAAGGGTTAATGAAATTAAAAATAGCATTTCTATATCATACAAGTAAAAGAAAGAAATGAATTTTGGCATGGAAATTTTAATCCGTAAAAATTCGGTAAACAAAGGAATGGTATGAATAAAATATATGGGATCAAACAACATGTTTAAACATTTGGGTGGCTGAAACTTATCTAGTCATTACGCTAAGAGTAAGACGGATATATTATATATACACGCATACGTATGTATATATACATATATGTATACAAAAGTATAGATACAGATATAAATATAAATATAAATATGAATATAAATATGGATATAAATATAAATATAAATATAAATACAAATGTATGTTGTCTATGTGTATATGTGTATATCATATATGTATATGTATATTGATGTATGTGTACACGTATACACATGGATTAAAAAAAAAAAATTAAAATAAAATACGCAGCCATCGCGAGAGCCACCCTGACTGAACGTGTCTAGCCACATTTTAATAAATAATAACATTCGCAAACGACATTGCGTGATTATTGATAAAATCCTTTCTTAGAATAATGTTTGATTTATTCTAAGAAATTACATTTGTCAAATTCGATTAAATTCTTCTTTTTCTATTTATTTACTTGTACCCTTTGCAATTTATTTTCGAGGAACTCTCGTAAGAAATTCTAAAAAAGTATTGTTTAAAAATAGATAAATAAAGAAAGAAAGAAACGTGTTGCACCTAAAATTGCATCGTAACTTAGAGTTTCTTACGATCGATTGTACAATAATATAAGTATGTATAAATATCTATATACTATATATAGAGAATAAAGCTGTGGAAAATTTGCGATCCAAACTATTGTTATTGTAATGCGTATTTCAATGTATTCGCTTCGAAAAAATCGTATGAGAAGCTTCGATGCGTTGAACTAAAACAAAAAAAGAAAAAAAAAACGAAAAAAAGAGATCATCTTTTTTATTATGCTTCCCACTTTGTTCATTTGTCACCAATAAGAAATAAAAAAGAAAAACAATTTTGTATTCGAAAATGTTGAGAGAAGTTTATGGTTTGCAATAAAAAAAAATAAGTGTGGCAATGTTCGAAATTCTACAGTGGAACCTCGATTAATTGAATTGCGATTGGTTTGAATTGAATCGTATCAAAATAAATCGTGTTGAATTGCGTTAAAGAGAATCGCGTGAAATTGAATCACATCGAATTAAATCGCGGTAAATCGAGTTACATCGAATCGTGTCAATTTAAATCGAATTAGTGTATGTATTAATGGTCGTTTGATCAATGAAACCGCATGTTATTGGCCGTTCAATAAACGAGCGCGAATATTGACCGTTCGATAAATGAACGCATTCTATTGGCGGGTCGATAAGTGAGCGCTTCCAAAAAGTTTCGATCGCGTTTATTTAGCGATTGTTATCTAGCAGAAAGATATCGAGGTTCTATCGAATTGCAAGGTAAACGCGATACAAATAATGAGAGAAAATAATTGATAGCTTTTTATATAAAAAGTCAAAAACATTTTTCGATAAAAGTTCATTAGATAAATATAAATTAAAGCAACGAGATTTCATTAAAAATAAATATACGTATATTTAAGCTAATAAAAGGAGATAAAAATTGATTATTAAAAAGGTTGTAAAATCTACTATGTAATGGGTACATTGAGTAGAAATTTCATAATTTAAATTTGTTAACTCGATGATAAGAGGAATGAACTTGCTACACGAATTTTAATATATATTTATTTAAATTAACATTTTATTATTCAATAAATACTGATAGATGAGTGGTGGATAGTTTTATAGAAATAAAATTAAGCACCATTCATTTTCTTATTTTTATTGCAAAGTTTCGATCTATTAGATTTACATTAATCCAAAGAATGTTTTTTATTTATTTTACTTTAAGGGAAGTATTATT